GGGGGAGGGGGCATTAATTGTTTTCTTAGGGGTGGGGCTTTACTGGGGGTGGGGGTAATTTTGTTTTTAATTTTTCTTAGGGGGGAGGGGGCATTGTTTTTTTAGGGGGGGGGCATTAATTTTTTCTGAATTTGTTTATTTGCTGTATTCTTTTCTTAGGGGGGCGTTCATTTTTTTCTTCTTAATTTTTCTGCTTTATTGAATTTCTCAAGGGAATAGTGATTTAAACAAAAAGAAAATACTTTTTTGTAAATTTCGTCTCTATTTCTCACTCTTTCACCTTCCTTGTTTTTGTTTGTTGTCTCTCTTTTTTCACCAGCTCTCTACCCCACCTCTGTCAAATATCTTTTTATTTAGTTAGAACTCCGTTTTTTTAAATCCCTCTCGTACCCCTTTTCTTTCTCTTTTTTCTCCACCTCTCTCTCTCTCTCACACATACCCTTTCTCCTTCTTTCTTCATCTCTCTCTCTTTATCTTTTGCTCTCTCTGTGTGGGTGTTTGGATTTAGTGAAACATACTGAATCCATTTTAATTCATGGTGTGAACTGGGTAATTATAAGTAATAGATAACAGCAAATGGTATATTAATAATTAAACAAGATACACAAAGTAGGTCATTCACTTGTAAAACATTTACCTCCTAACTTAATGATTTCACAAGAAAAACCACACCATCAAACAAGAGAAATTTATATTTAAATATTGACGATTTAATATGGATAATCAAAACAAGTATTCAAGGTTATTGACGAAGACAATGTTGAAGTCGATGATGATGTCAGTGATGATAATGATGACAGCAATGTTGTCGGTGGCGATGGTGATGAAGCAGTCAAATAACGATTTCAGTGATGATGTTGATGATGATGAAGATGATGACGATTTCCCTTTCAAAGTGGTTGGTAGCTTTTGCAAAAATGTTTTTGGGAGGAACTATATCAACCATTAGATTTCAAATCATACGGTCTAATTGTTTCAGACCACAGTACTGCATGGGTGTACGTTTCGTTCAGAGAAACTAAAGGGTGAACCAATTCCATATCGGTCATTTAATTAATTGGATTAAAAGTAAATGGGGAGCATCTCCCAAAAAAGGGAACATTTTCATTTCATTAATAGAGTATCTAATACAGGGCTTGATCTCCACCAGGACTCCTGATGTAGACATGAGTCCTATCAATTGCACCTAGAAAACCTGGCAACCTGCAGTATTGGTAGAACTGCTGCTGTGTTGCTTCTACTTCTTCTCTTGATGTTGGGAACTTCATAAATTGTTTCCTTCTTCTTGCAAACGCTTCTGACACATCTTTGATGACTCTGCATACAGAAGACTGTGAAAGTTGTGCCTCATCACCATGCATCTTTTGGAATGACCCTGTAAAAAAAAAATCCTTTTAGTGAAATAAAAACTAGTACAATTTCTTACAAGTTACATGGCCAGATCAAATTCTCAAACTGAGAAATGTTTAATGTCCTTAAAATTGTAGAATAGATTTTTAATTAAATCAGGGCAGTCAACTCTCTTGCATTTAGAGGGAGTCTCACGCCACCACGCACTTCCTCCCGTTTTGATGTAGAAACTCCCGGTTTATGAAAAAACCTCCCGCAAAACATGGTACCCGCAATTTTACCCTTTTACTTTTTCGCTCAGCCCAGATTAAATAGAAATTTACTAAATACTAAATAAGGTAAATTACTCACCAACAGCATAGAATCGAAGTGCTGTCACTACCTGTATAGGTATTGGGTCGTTTCTGTCTGTCGTCCTCCTCAGCTCTTCATCCACCAAGTTGATGAGGTAGAGCGCTGTCTCTTTGGAAAACCAGTACCTGGTCCAAAATGACTCATCATCATACACTTCAAAAGGGTTCATGGGTCACGAAGGCCTCTCTGAGGTCTGCCTATCAACTCTCTGTTCCGATCAAGCTGGCGGAGATGGTGAATATATTCAGCCATGCTGTCTCTGTCACAACAAAATAGAAAAAAGTGAATTAAAATTAGAACATGAAATGAAAAAATATCATTCATTGTTTATCAAATAAATCCTATGATATTACATGTTTTGCATTCTTTGTATTGTAGACAATCTGATTTTGAATAGCTTTTGCAAACTCTAAAAAAAATATTAACGATACTTTGATTGCATTAAAGAAATGAGTGCTATTGATTCATACTATTGGGTAATTAGGAAAGATGATGTCACTGAACCTCCATAAGAACGTAGGGGCCAGTTCCTGTAATGTTTTGTTCAAAATCTACTCATGCTTGATAAAATGTGAAATTAGATACATGTAGATCTACATGTAAATTAGCATTAGATGTCCCATGTGAAAGGTTGAATTTGACTAAGATTACATGTAGATTAGGAAGAACACACATTGATTTATTGGCTATTTGCTTGCACAGATTTTAAACTTGCTTCAAAATTCAAGTACAACAATGTATTGATGTAGACTCTAGGCCTAGACTAGATCTAGACCGAAAGCTTCAGTCTCTAGATCTATACCGTCGGTTGTTCCACTGAGACTACGTCTGGCTCCACTAGACCTCCGGTGTCTGGCTCCACTAGACCTCCGGTTATCTATAACCGGAGGTCTAGTGGAGCCAGACGTAGAGTCTAGTCTCAGTGGAACAACCGACGGTATAGAGACTGAAGCTTTCGGTCTAGTCTAGGCCTAGACATGATCATGATGAAGTATAAATTTGTAGGAGTTGAGTGTAGAGACATTCGACAGTCAGTACTAGACTAGAGTCTAGTCTAGATCTAGTCTAGATGGGCCTAAAGACAAAGTACCTCTCATTCAGCTCAGACTTGTGCTCGAACTCAGTGACGGTGAGACACGCAAACACTCAACTTCTCAAGACACAACACAACAAACCATCGGCGCGGGCTTGGCATGAATTTATGAAAAGTAGGCCTAGGTCTAGGTTTACGTTAGAAAGGTCTAGACCACATAGACTAGACTAGATTCTAGATCTAGAGCCTGAGGTCTAGACCCTATACCGGTAGGCCTAGACCCTACGGCCTAGGTCTACTAGTCTAGTTCTAGATCTAGAAAGTCTAGAGTACTAGACTAGACCTAGATCTAGACTAGATCTAGATCTAGAGTCTAGGTCTAACTTAGGTCTAGATCTAGACCTATTTTGAAAAATATTTTATTCCATTTCAATTTCTAAATCTAGAGTCTAGAATAGACTAGACCTCTAGCCTAGATCTAGATCTAGGTCTAACAGTTAGATTCTAGATTCTACACCTCTAGATCTAGATCTAGATCTAAAGTTAGATCTAGATCTGCATCTTTTACAATAATTTACAAAATACTTTTTATTAATTCATGCCATGGTTTGGCGTGCTTTGACTAATTTCTTGAGACTGAGGACTAGACCTAGATCTAGATAGATCTAGGGTCTAGTACTAGACCTATCTCATGATCTAGGCCGTAGGCCTAGGCCTACTAGATCTATCATCTAGCCTAGGCCCACGTCGTGTTTGCGTTTCTCACTGCCACCGACTTCGAGCTCAAGCTCAAGTCTTATTCAGTCAGTACTGAGTGTCAGTATACTGTATAGGACTAGTAGTACTAGAGACTAGTCTAGATCTAGGTCTAGACCAGGCCTCTGTATATAGTAGGCCTAGATCTAGACTAGACATCAGCGTGGAAGAATTTTCATTTTCATTTCGGCATTTTTCGTTCTCCTCCGTTAGTTAGTCAGATGAGAAGCAGCATCAGCAGAGCAGAAAATACAAATGAAACTGTCGCTACCCCCCCCCCCCCAGGCCAGGAATGTCTCAAATGTCATGATTACAATTGTGTGAAGTTATAACTAATTTCGTATTGTTAGCTGGCACATTCGCAGTTATTGCGAAATTGCCTTGCCTCGCAGGATTACATAAACAACACAACACAAATACACACGCATGGGTCCGAGCTGCGTTAGGTTCTGCGACAATGTTCGCAAAGGCTGTGCAACTTACGATGAAGATTATTATTCGTGCACTTTTTACGCACATAAATCATGTTCAATTGGGCTTCCATTGTAGCAGAACTGAGAATATGGTACAAATATGTTGTGAATAACTAAAAATACTTACAATGTAGGCTATCAAAGTTGAAAAAACAGCAACTTTGTGAAGGTATATTCACTTTGTTTCACCACAAATTTGTCAACAAAATTTGTACGATCGTCTGCGCTAAAAGCCAAAGCTCGCTGGTATGACGTCATATGACGCGTTAAACCGTGGGTTAGATTTAGTCCGCTGTTTTAAACCACCCTTCTGAGCAGGTTAAAAATATGACGTAATATGACGCGATTTAGCCTGGGTTAAATCTAAACTTCCTTTGTGAATACCAAAATAATGACCCATGGTCTAAAGCTCGGGGTTATGACGTATTATGACGCGATTTAGCCTGGGTTAAATCTAAACCTCCTTTGTGAATTCGGGCCTATGGGTTCCATTTTTAACAAAAAATATCCGTAAACATGAATTTGTTTTTCAAAATTTTCAAAAAAAGTTCGGGTTTTTGCTTGGCAAAAACCAGAAAAAATTGCAAAAAACGGGCTTTACTTTGTGAAAAATCCACAAAAATGAGACCCTAAATGGGTAGGGGTTTCTAGGCTTCAGCGGCACACCCCCATCCAAACCAAATCTGAGTACCTTATTGCTGCAATTAAGCCCCCAAAATATGAGTCATATATAGTGAGACTTGTCCATAGTCATATGGTTCTTCTCGCTTTCTTTTAACAACAAGGGGAAAAAAGGGGGAATGATAGAGAGGAAGACTAACAGTGAAATGTCGAGAGAATTAAAGTGAGAGTCTGAGGAGGAGAGAGGTTAGTGTGCAAATAGTTTGTCGCACATACCCAGTCTGCAAAGTAGACTATGTAAAAGCGTTCGCGTGTCTATCTCGTACTGGTAAAAAAAATCTGGACAGTCGATCGAGTCTAGTCTAGCTAGTCCACCATTGCATTACATTCATTGATCTTCGCTCCCTCACGTCAATGGCACTGCACTCAGTGTGAAAACTACGGGGTAAACTACTATACTACTACGTGAGTTGGTGTGTTGATGTCGCATGACCTTAATATGGCTAAAGTCTAAAGATATGATGCGACTACTTTTGGTAGAGTCTAGATTTACTGCAACTTCATGGAGAGATGAGAGTTACGTCACGTTATTTTGAGAACACGAACTTCTATGGCTGTACTGTATCCGGACATCTTTTAATTAAAGTGGTTTACCAGGAAACAAGCGAAGCAGATGCACAGACAGAGAGACAGAGTCACGTTCCTGCCACTCTGATCTTTCCCGTCACTAAGACGCAGTGCAGTGCAGTGGATCGTGGAGTGTGGTAAATCGGCAGATTGGTTTGATTTTGTAAAGAAAGACATGAATGATGAAGGACGAGCATGAACCCAGGACAAATTCAGTACTTTCTGTGATATAATTGTAATCATCTAAACTAGGGGTCTGTTAAAAAAGTTGTGACCGATTCAGTGAGACACAGAAACAGAGAGACAGAGAGGGGCACTTTCTTCTGATCTGGAGCTGGCCCGTTTCGGCATCAGGAACGTTATCCAAAGATGGGGGATAGTCAAGGAACATCGGTTATAAATGAGAATGACACGCGTCAACTGTTAGATCACTTCTCCAAGACTCAATACAGAGCTCGTGAAGGCAGTAGTAAAGTAAGTTTCCAATCTTACTAGACCTTCTAATACTATTCTTAGTATTAGAACTAACTATTAAAAGCAGATTGGTGAAACTAAGTTTGAACAAAGTCGGACCAAGAAATGTAAAGTTATGAATTTTGGAAGTTGTAATCACTATTCGTACTTCAAATTAGCTGAATTGGAAGTGACACTGTCACAAAGTGCCAGAGAGTTTTCCCATTTATCAAAAAACCTTAAAGTGATAAAATGTCTATTTTACACAATGAACATGTATGAAACCATGACTCATTATCTGGACATCCTCAAGGGAGAAGGCACTTTGGAGAAACACAGAAATGCATAATATTTTTGTTCTGTATATCATGATAAATGTAAATATGATGTCTTTATAGCTTGTCATTTTTTTCTTATTAGAACCTCTAGACTATATATATGAAATAATCTTCTTGCTTCATAAATCATAATGCTTCTTTTCCATGTTCTTTGTAATGCAGGTTGAAGGATTTGAGAGGAAATGTCTTGCTTTATTTGCAAAGGACTACAAATACTCAGTAAGTTGCCTTGCCTTGTTTTACTGTGATCCAGATTCCTTTAATACTAGTGAAGGACTTGTTGGGGGTGGTTGGGGGTGGTAGGTAGATGGATGACGAACAATACCAATGGTGACAAGGGAGGGTTCAAGTATTCCAAAAAGTATGACTGGCAAATCGATACAAAAAGAAAGGGTCATAAATGTTGTCAGGCATGAGAAAGGGGGTATCCAATTCCCCGAATCTCTTCCCACATGACACCCTCCACCTCCCCACATTGCTCCTGAATGCTACTTGATATCATATTCCCTTAGGGTAGTAGGGTAAACATGTTATGTCACTTTTTAACATCCTTCTTCTTCTTCCATTGGAGTACATCCCTCTTACAGATTATTGTTCTTAATATTAAGATATGAAGCTATTGAATAGAAAAAAAGTTTTATCACAATAAGTTTTTACTCCTGTGAGATATTTCACACGGCAATAGCATAAAAAAAACAAAGTTTTGAAACCAAGAAATTAACTGAAGTGAGTTTAAAAAAATATATAATAAAATAATATTTTAGATTTTCTTCATTAATTAAACTTAGAAAATGGGGTTTAAAGAAAATACTGTGACCTGACACTTGTTTTTTGTTTTTGTTTGATTGAAAAGGTAATCCTGAATTCGAATGGGGAGCTTTGTGGTCACTACCCAGGCAAGTTGGTTATACTGGAGTACATGTTAGGAGCTGATGGACAAGTAGGAGAAAGGTAAATCCTTCAAGTGTACCGATCACCTTAAATTGTTTTGTGTGTGGCTAGAATGTAAAGAAATCAACTCCAAAATACTTTACATTGTGTCATACAACCCAGCAGATAAGGCGTATAGAGAAAATGAAGAATAACACATTATCAGTGCACCTTCTATATCATTCCATGTAATACCATAAAAGAACCAAGGTCCCAAGGTCCGACTTGGGTTCCCTGCAGGCCCTGATTCCAAGCGAGCATCGAGAAGTCTGCTCATACGTAACTTTATGTTAATTGAGCGTGTATTTAAAGTGCTAATTTATACATGCAGTTTCTCTTTATAAAAGTAATATTCAAAGCTCATATTTTTGATATAGTATAGCCAAATGGAATCTCTAACATACATAACAAAATATATTTTGGTAATTGGTATACAAGCTTTAAAGCCACTAGTCCTGCTCCTATGTATAGGGGCAAGAAATGTAAATGGGTCTATCATTATTCCATTCTGAAAGCATCTCCCACACTAACATGTCTTGTTATATTGTGATTATTAGACTTAGTGATCAAGAGATAGGCAGCACTTTTCTCAGAAAAATATTCCAGTTCATGAACCCCATAGATTTTACAAGAAAATACATTTTTCTTTGGAGCTGCTTTAACAATACAACAAAGGTTGTTAGTTCAATTTGGCTCAAGGTTTTGACAATATTTGGCTCAAAGTCTAAAAGGTTATCAGAGAGAGAGAGATTCCTTGTTGAATTGACATACCCTTCTAACAATTTCTCTATTTCAGAGACCATGTGGAGAGCATGTATGATGTGACCAAGCTGAGAGAGATAATGTGCCGCTCAAGATTTGCTAGGTGTAGGGAGAGATTTGTCATGCCAGTTATCCTCTGTGATGGCAAGGTAAGTTGTTTCATAATAGCAACAGTGTCAAATGTATACTTTTTAGTTCAAGGGGAAGTCCACCTTGATATTAAGTTGCAACTTAAACATGAGGGTAGACTTCCCCTTTCACTGGAATTCTCTTTGGATTTGCCCTAGATGTGAGATTTCCTTGCGACAGTTCCTATGTATTTTATATGTCTTTGCTAGAGCTCACTTTAAGAGCTCCTTTTTACACAGCTCTCTTCAAAACACTCTCAAGCTAAATCACTCGCTGCTCCAAGTAACATATATTTTTCACAAATTATATTGATCAATCATGTAAGTTAATAATATAACAACTTTCTACAATATAACATAACAAAGATATAGTACATGAATGGTTGATGACTTGATGTATCATGCAAACCACACCTTATATAGAGGTATTATTTGGTAAAGAACATTTAAAGACGTGCAGCAGATGAGTAATTGTGTGTCAAATTCTAAAAAAATGTACGAGGGGTTGTTTTAGCAAAAAAAGAGTGAGGTTTTGTTCTTTGATACATTGGCCAATGTTATAGAGATTGTCTCTTGATTTCTTGTCATAATTATTTATGAGTTGTAGAGCTGTAGTAGAAAATATATTTTCAAGAAATTGATCCTTGATGTCAGACATTTTGTGATATCAATACCTTTTGCAATTTGTTAACATATATATGTACTGTGAAGGGTGAAAGTGAAACTGTAATTAGGTATTGGAGATCATTTAATTCTTTAAATCCTTTAATAGGCTTTGATATGCTTGTGTTATAGTCAAGACTTTCAAAAGTGAAACTTAAGGTCTTATTATAAATAATGATGGTTGTTCAAATTTCAATTGTACAGTTATATATTATGCAGTGTACCAGTACATGTTTTTGTTTTCTTCTTCTTTTCTTCTTTTCTCATTGGAAGTAGAGAGCCATAGAATCTTTTTATAACATCAAAGTTATTGGAAGATTTGTCTTTAAATGAATAGCAATGACACATTTTAGCTTGAGAGTTAGAACATTCTTGAGTATCTTTGATGAAGATGCTCATTTTGTTAAATGTTTGTTACATATAAATCAATATATTTTCTTTGCATTTGTAGCACATTTGCAGATCAGCTACCCTCTCGGGAGGTCCTGAGATATATGGACGTTCTGGCTTCAACTACCTCTTCTCAGGTATACCTTTCTAACTGTAATGACATTGTATAGAGCATTCACGGTCAGAATTTGAATTATCTGGGCGTCTCTGTTTTGTGCTTTTTTATAGCTATGTAGAGCAAAATGGAAGGTGTTTGTAGATTTTTATTGTATTTAAACGAGATCACTAGCAATCTAAGATTCATGCTTTCAATACATTGTTTTATTTTGATAGATAATAATATTGATAAAATTTCAGATAAAAATAAATGTCAATTAGCTATTCCTGTGTTGTCTCTTGATTGCAATATGTTCAGTGAATTTAGTATTAACATGTAAGATGAGTATGGATGTAATAGTCAAACCTGTCTATAGCGACCGCCCATGGGAAACACAAAAAGTGGTCTTTGAAGACAGGTGGTTTTTGTAGACAGGTTCCTTTAGTACATGTACATGTTTCAATGAGAAACCGTTTTCAAGGGAAACAAAGAATGTTGTCTTTGTAGACAGGTGGTCACTAAAGCAGGGTTGACTGTATACATATATATACACTGGTATATCTTTTTTATAAACTAATTTTGATATTTTCATCACTGTACAGTGTACTAGTCTATTGCCAATTTTCCATCCTGTAGAGTGGTTCAATCAAACTCATTTCTTTTTTCTTGACAGGAGGTGAAAGTGCAGAACTAGATGATGAAGAAACTATGACCAGTCTAAGTAGGAGCCCATCTACAAGGTAAGTGTTTCATGCTTATCTTTGCACTGACAAATGTTAATCAATTGCTAATACCTTATACACTATCTTTGAAGATGTGTTTAGTCTGATTTGATGTGTTTGGAGGAAGTGGGTTTTGCAAAATTGTCTAAATTGATCAAATCACCTCAAAATGTGTTGCTCTTTCATTCCCCTTTGGCATGTTAACATTGAATATGTAAATTTATTCAAGTTAAAAGGAAAGGCATTTATCTTTGCTTCCGTGACATTGAGAGTTATACTGGATTTCTTTGATCCCTAATACCAGTCAAAGTCTTGGTTGCATTTTGGATAACATGACTAGATGAGGAAGATACTCGTTTATACATATCTATGCATCAATTAGTCTACTTAATACATGTATCCAGAAAACTAATTAAATTGAAACAAGTATAGAATATCCCCTTATCCTCAACATATAAGAATCCTTAAATCTACTGAATATCCAGAATATATACCCCACAATTATACTTTGTCAATCAATATTTACTTATTTATTCTGCAGTAGCAACGATTGGCCGTTGTTTGACCGCTACAGAGGTCAAGATATCAAGCTGTTGAAGATGCTCCAAGTGACCGCTGTGTGTGACCTTATGCTAGAGAACAAGAAAGTCAAGTTTGGGGTCAAGTAAGTGACCTGATGGTGATCCAAGGGACGATTGCTCCAGGCTTTGTTTCGTCTTAGATATATGGTTAGGGTTAGGGTTGCACATGGTGCTTAGAAATATGCTGAGGTGGAATTTTCTCACAAGTATCACTCCATGAAAGGTATAGGGTTAGGGTCAGGATGGCAACTTGGTTTAGGTTAGGGTTGAGGTTTAGGGTTAGGTATAGTTTTTAGTTCATGGTTGATGTTTGGTTAGTGTAGGATATTGACTGTAGCAATTTTTTGCTGGAGCATGTATTGTAGAACCCTTGCATCTCCTAAAGAGTAGAACTCAAGTTGATCACATATTGTGAAAAGGTGTCAGTTGAGTTGAAGTGGGGAATTGGTGGTAGAGTAATTGTCTCTGGAGCGACCTGACACGTGCAAGAGATTGCATAACAGTCGACCCACAGGAAGGGTATTGTTAGCAGCTAGGTGTTATTCTGGGAAAGAGAAATTTACCAGTTAGCACCTGCCAATCATGAGACATAGATATTATAACTATTGGGAAAGAACAAAACAATCAACAAGTTAAAAGTATTAACATGCCATACTGAAAATGGGAGAAAAAGACATTCAAAATAAAACCTAAGAATTTAGATAAGATGAAAGAAATGTTTTTTAAATGAGAAATGTGGTGAAACATCCAATTCGCTTCCAGTTTATTAAGGGATGACACATATTCCAAATAAATTGGGCAAGCCAGATAGACTTATCAGTCTCAGTTATTTCTCTGATTTGTTTCATTGTAGGACCAACTATTTATGTTTTATGTAGCCTAGGGAATGTAGGGACACATTTTTCAGTATGACAATTGAATTGTCTGAAAACAGCTACCGAAATACTCTGAAGATTGATGTATCTACGGTTTTGACAGTGAGATTTCCTAAAATCTCAGACAGTTTAGCCAATATTTTGTAAAGTGGCAATGAACCTGTCTCAACTTAATCCACTGATTTGTGGAAGGCCCTGTGTCAACTCTTAATATGTAGATTACTGGAATTACACAGCAAAATTAGTGAAAAAAGAATGGTCATGAAATGTAAATGGTTATCATTACATTATTTAACAGTGTAACATCATCAGAGAAAGTGGACAAGGAGCATAGGTATGCTGATTTCTGCTTGCTCTCATTACCGTACCCCGGCTGTGAATTCTTCAAAGATTTCAGGGACAATGGCTTCAACGGTATTAATCTCTTCTTTGACTGGTCACAGGTTAGCAAAATACTGTATGTAAATCCCTTCTTAACCACCACGATTTTGGGGACAAATGTCATAAAGTTAAAATTCAAGGAAGTGTTAACATTTGATTAATACTTTTGAATCTGCTTTTTTAAACATTTTATAAACCATGAATGCCCAAGTCAGTCAAAGAATTTTGTATTTTTGTTTTTTGTTGATAACATTGTTGCTAATTACAGCATTCATGAAGTAGGCCATATAGTCTTGTCGTATTAACCCAAAGCATTGCCATATGTCCTATATCGCAGGGTTTGACACTAACAGGTGCCCAGGACACATAGGCACCAAAAATCTTGTTACGAACCTGAAAATGTCAGAATTTTAACATAAGACTCATGCATACAGGCCCTAAACCTTTCAGTCCAGACCTCCTATGAAAAAAAGATAGTGTGAAGCCTTGCTATATGAAAAGAATTAACTGGTAAATTCATATCCTATTGATGTACTTTTAAAATTTTACAGGACTTTGTTGATGCTGATCTGAGTATACCAGACAGAGTAGCCACCTCCACAGGCATTGACTGGCATATGTACAGGGTGAGATGTTTTTTCAATATGCATGGACTATGCCCTAGCATTAACACCACATTTGTGTTGTTGTTGCTGTTGTTGATGTTGTTATTGTTATTGTTTGCCTAGAGTTTTAGGTATAATTATATTGTGGTATCAACCATCTTTTCTTTGGCACTCTGAAACAATTAACGCCTTTCATTCTCATCGGAAGAAATGACTGCCTGAATATTTTCATAGGACTACCCAACCTCATTTAAGTCTATCATTATTTGAATTTGATTATTGACTTAAATGTTGTTTTTCGAGAGTTGTGTGTTTATTAAAAGTACAATTTCAATGATATTGACCTCAATCAAACAGTGGCAGGCAAGTAAGTGGGAATGATCAGTCCCCAATTCTTCAGTGATGATTTCACTGTCCTTCTGCAATCATGATAATATCCTTAATTGTTTTATTTAATTTTAATTTGCATAATTTTGTTGGCACAGCAATGGGATCTGGTGAAGATCACACAGAACTACCTGAAGCTCCTGCTCTTCCTTATCAAAGATGGTGAGTAAAACATGTAACCTTGCTAGGAAACATCCATGTTATATGGGAATACAGTCAAACCTGCTTTAGTGATCACCTGCCTTTAAAGACCACCTTTCTTGTCTCCCTTGGGTGGTCTTTATGGACAGGTTTCACTGTATAAGTGAAACGTTGATGTTTATACAGAAGGCCATATTGCCCTGCTTGATCCAAGTATTCTCCTGTTTGCTCACCAGGGGGTTTTTCATAAAGCTGTTCGTAAAATTACGCATGACTTTACGAACGACTTTTAATATGAAGTGCCAGAGATAGGATGGCCAAATTTTTCCCTGATATTTCTAATAACCTCAATTAAGTAATGGCAAAAAATATACTTTGCATTAAAAATGTTTGTTATAACAAGAATGTTAATCTACATCTGCACAGTTCAACTTTAGTTGATGCAGTTAAAAATGTTTGAGCATCCCATTTGGCTTTTTATATTTAAGTCATTCGTAAAGTCTTGTGTAAATTTACAAACAGCTTTGTGAAACACCCCCCAGAATACATAACTTCTACAGTAGAACAAAGACTACAGTCCTTATTTCCTTATTGTAGTGAATTCTCTTGAAGTTTATCTCTGTGATTCCTTCCACAGTGGGAGACGCTAAGTTTTGAACTTTCTCCACTTACACATTGTTAATAAATGTGAATTAAATGTTGGTTTTCCCCCTTTTCCGCTACTTGAAAAGATTTTGGTGTTGATTTGAATTATAGTGCTTGTTATTTTTTCTATGGTATATGAATGATGTTCATCTCTACCAATTCCATGACCACAAAAGATCTACTTGAAAATAATTTGTGTTTTTCCTTTTTACGCAAGCTGTTGGAAATGAGTGTAAAGAAAGTATCATGTGGTTTATTTTGCAGGAGATTCTGGGGTGTTAGTACATTGTATATCAGGCTGGGACCGCACACCTCTTTTCATCTCTCTTCTCAGGCTTTCTCTTTGGGCGGTAAGTTATCACCTATGTATGTATAAAAGGAATGGCCTTATAGTACTACTGGGCAATGACATCTTGCTTACACCTTGCAATCCATGCAAAGTACACTCCTTCTCCATTGTAATGATGCATGAACATTACTAAGGAACCAGCCAATATGGCACAGCTCAGCAAGCATATTGAGAAACATTACCTGCAGCCTGATAAATTAATCTCTTCAATCTTGTGTGCTTCATTTGATTAAATTTCTTGGTTAGATCAGTCTCTAAAAAATGAAATGATGATATGTGTCTATGCAATGAATTGAATGTTGTTTGGTAAATTCACTTAAAAGTAGAAATAAAAACACTGCTCATCAATGTTCATAGTAATTGCCTTTCAATTTCATGTCTGTCATGTCATATGTTTCCTGGTTTCTTGTACAATAAAAATTGAGAAATATTGTAGTATAAAGATAAAGTTGAGTTCTAGTCATGCAATTGCATTGTGAAAGAAACATCGTGGAATCGATCAGAAAAGGTTGATCATCTAGCGTTTAAGTATTGGGTGTGTACTGCAAGGTTCTAGAATCATCAAAATGATAAGAAATTTGGCCCAGTCTTGGTAGTTACAAGCACTGTACATAGAAATATGTATAAGGGATTACACGAACATGTGGCATAAAAATCTGTCCCGAATTGTAAGCTTTTACATGCCATATTTAGAATATTAAGGCATTTGAAGAGACATACTTTTTAGGGAACATTTTTTATCTGATGTTCTTCCACACTTGCATAACAACAATGATAGCGCTCACAAATTATTTTTCATCTTTTCCCAGAAATCGACCTTTTAAATGCCTACCGGGTAGTTGTTATTACAAAATGGACATGTCATTCATGTATATTTTATCTTTGTGCACACTGTAGCTTACTTTGCCCTTCTTCCTCATTTTCCATAGGACTGCAAAGCCCATGCAAACCTTAGTGCAGCTGAAATACTCTATCTCACAATTGCGTATGACTGGCTCTTATATGGGTAAGTACTTACTGTTGATATTTCTGAAGATTTGAACATATGCAATCACCATTATACTAATGACATTGGACTCTGCCCCTTATTATCAGTGATCTTTTGTTTGGGGAATTCCATTTGCTGTAAAATGTAGAGAAGGGTGTTTACTGCAAGTGTGGAAGTGTTATTGAATTCCATGATTTGGTTAATATTACATGGAAAATCACCTCGATCAGTTAATTGTACCAGGAAATAAAAAGGCAGGATATCAAAAGAATATCTACTAGTGTTATTATTGTTACAAGAGTTCTAGCTCTTTAAAACAATTTTGAATCAGCTGTCATTATCAACTTATTTTTTAATGAGAGTATTCTTTTAATCCCTGGAAAGTTTTCAATATATGTTTCAAGCATTTTCAACAGGTGTTGTTGTCATAAACATGATGATTATCTCAAAATAGTAATTTGTCTAGGGTCATGAACACTAAATCTCATTCTGTCAATATCTTTTGTGCAGGCACAATCTATGTGACAGATTAGGGAAAGGAGAAGATGTAAGTACTCATTTTCTGTCATGAATGATTTGATTCAAAGTGCATCTTTTATGGCAGTGATTCGAGTTGGATCTATTCACAAATGCATGCTAACCTAATTTTGTGTTTTATTGATGTAGTGAACAAATACATGAATGTTGTACGATTGTTTACAGTCCTTTTATTGTGTGTTTGAAATAAAGTGAATTGCATTAAATGTGAAGTTTACTAAACGATCATACCTCAGAATATAGTTTGACCAGGATTCTATAAACCTCTGAAAAATTGCTTTGCACAGCAATATCTTGCATATAATTGAATACCAAAGATAACATGTATTAGGGCCTTAGGGGTGAGGTAAAAAAAGAACTACCACTATTGATACTTGCTTGGCATGTTCATTCCGATTGATTTATTTGTAATTGCCTCCCAGGTTTTCTTCTTCTGTTTCAACTTCCTGAAGCACATCACATCCGATGACTTCTCATTACTCCAAAGAAGGTCAGTTAACTCATTGGATACAATTTAATGTTGGTATAAGAAAGATTTTCTGTAGACTCCAACTTGCGTTATCTTATTATCTTAGGCATAGTATTTCAAGGGTTAATACATATACGTGTGGAAGGTGGATGCAGTTTTTTAATCCAACTACCTTGATTAATATCGTTAGTTCAGTCCATCTTTTTTATTATCATAAGAAGTTATTGACTTCAAACTGTCAAAGTGTCTTGTTATTCCAATTGTTATCTTTCATTATACTTGCCATATACTTGGACTCTTTTAAAGTTGTATGGAATAATTTTGTTTAAAAGAAAAATTGATGAATAAATAGATTAATGTATTGAGTGGAGTATTATACACTGTTTAATAGTTTCATTGATGTGAATCATGAAGTTACTTTGAAACAACATGCTCTCATTTTTATAACAGAATTGACAAAATATTTCATACAATAACCTCTGACCTATGATTAAAATTACATATATATTTGTAATAATATTCTTAGAATAATATACCAATTAAATATGATAATTGAATCTCTTATACTACAGCAGACGACACAGAGCATCGAGTAGAGCAGACTCAGAATCCTGTCTTGAACCGATGGTCTTATTAGGTTTGTTTATTATTCATCCTCCCAGCTCATACTTTGTTTCATTTATGACATTCTGTATAACTTGCTTCAATGAAATTACAATTAATTGTTATAGCAAGAAAACAAAGAAAACACAGTATTAAAGAAAACATAAAAGTAGGTAAGTCCACTGATATTATTTTGTGTTTAATTGGAGTATTTAAAAAAATCTTAAGTAGAATACCGGTAGTCAAATACTGAAAACGATTATTTAGGGAGAAATTGTTGTCTTTTTTATCATACAAATACTGTGTTCAATTTATGTACAATCTAACAAAAATATGAATAATAACACATTTTACGATCATAGCAATTGAAATTAAGTTTTTGACAGTTCAAGATGGATTTTGCTTGATATTCCTAAATCATAAATTATCAATTTCAACTAATGCCAATTATAAATCAACTAAGAACAACATAATGGGAAGGATTGTTAAAAACTCTTTGGAAATGCAAACTGTTAGATTTACAATGCATATCATTATGTACACTCTACAGTCTATGCATTTTAGAAATGGATATTCCACTGTATCAACAAATTTGCGATTATTTCCCTTTCCCTACAGATCTGGAAGAAAGCAGGAAATACAAACTAGGTAGTAACTCCAGTCTCGGCAGTAATATCAGTATTACCAGCATCAGTAGCACAAGTTCTCCTATCTTAACATCTGTTCAAGACTCTAGCTGTAAAGAAGAAACAAGGAATGGAGATGTTCATCAAACATCAAATGGTGCTCCCAAATATAATGTGTAAGATTCATTTGTGCTCCATTGGTTTTTCATCATCTTGACTATCTTGATAATGTTGTAGTCTATGAGCTTTGTTCCTCTTCTCGCTCTCTTTAAGTCTGTCTATTTCTCTTTCTTTATCAATTCTACTCCTTTTGTCTCTTGAAGTTTGTCTCCTTTTTCCTAATCTTCTTGTTCTTTTTGCCTTTAAATTTTGTTGTTGTTGTTCTAAAATATCCTTTTGATTATTAAATGATTGTGTCATTTGTTGTTTTTTACATCTTCTGATGTTTCAGCATTTTTGTTTACCGAGCCCTGTCTTCATTACATTAAAAAATGAATGGGCCACTTTCATGTTTATCCATTTGATTGTCTGAAATAGTTCTACATGTTCCACAGTAGAGTAGAGAGTGTGCATGTACTGAAAAGTGCAAAAATGTAATTGAATCCAGTGAGCAGGGTATTAATACTGTGAGTCCTTTGGTTAGATATGATGTAACTGTAAATGGTGCTGTTTACAAAGAGTTATTGGCATCATTATATTGTAGTAGTTAATAGTTGGTTTAATAGAGTGATAAAGCTTACATAGTTAGATCACTTGATCATTGCATGGACTTCTGCCTTAGCCGAATCATTGACAAGTTGACTACACATCCTGTTTACTTTTAGTTTTGTTTCCTTGTTGATAAAAACAGATGGCAGAATTAATCATGTCTCTTTTTTCAGTAGACCAAAATCAGCACTCCACCGACCTGAGAGCACGAAGCAAACTATCATCCAATCAGCAACCAGTCCTGTAGCAGTACCCAGGTCATGTCGAAGGTCATCAGCTGATTTGGTGAGGGGTCACTCATGATTGACACTTTGAATATGTATATAATGTTTACTGGCTTTGAGGAGGATATGAAATTGGGAAATACAATCTTTTATCACCCCCAAAAATCAGCCAGTCAATAGTATTATTATTTAAAAGTTTAAAGATAGGAGGAAATCTGCCTATTACAGACTGTTTGGTACAACAGGCTTCTCTATGGGTAATAGAAGCGTGAAAAGTATTAATGAATGTTATGATAATTACATGCCAGTGTAAGATAAATTAATTTTTCTTTCCCGTTTTATTTACTTAGTGATTTTATCTTCGTATGTGTAAATATGTAGAGTAAAATATTTTCATTGATAAATAATAGTACAATAATTATAAACAAACCAAACAAAAACAAAAACTTATTGAACTTGTATGCATTACTTTTATGATCCTATTTTTGTTTCTTCTTCATTTTCCTCATCAGGCAAAGTCAACATCATCAGCATGTGGAAGGTATGTAATATTATGGATGGCCTATTTTACATCAAAGACTACAGAAACATAATATGTAGCATTTTCATGAAGATCAGTTTTTACAAATACTGTTCTGAGGCAATGGCCCAAGTGAATTGATGGAAATTCAAACAAAATGCATCAATTTCATTTTTTCAATGAATGGATTATTCTTTGTTTGTTTGATAACAACTTATTTTTTGCTCTTATATACAAAATTGTGAAAATATTAATGTCAATTTCAGGTGATTTGATTAATTTGTATTCAATTGCTCCCTTCATACCATTTCTAGAGTAGCAAAATTGCATAATGACTGGAACTTATTTTGACTATGATACATGTACAATTATTATTTGAGGTACAGTAGTCGGCAGGATTGGGGAGAAAAAAGTTGTATTTAATTTTTGTGACTTTACAGAGCTAATCCTTCTGTGTGAATATTTTTATCAGGCACAAATAGTGTGAAGGCGAATTTTTGTTTGGCGTGGAGGAAGCATTTAGGAAAAAGCTAACACACTAAATAAGAAAGTAATTAATTCGCCTTGTGTGTTGTTTTCGGTTCACAGATTATATTAGGCACAGGTAGTGTAAAGGGGTACTGAAAAAATAACACTTTATTTTTCACTCAAAGATAGATTCTGTTTCACATGAAGGCAGCTTTTAAGTAAAAGCTAATAAACTAATTGCAATTTTTTTAATATTCCCCTTTGTGATTTTTCAGTTGGCAGATAATATCAGGCACGGGTAGTGTAAAGGGTTACTTCTCAGCCCGAGACTCGCCCCTCACTATCAATTCAGACATCTCCAGTGGATCAGCTAGCTCAGCTAACAGCAACCCACCGATGTAAGCATACTCTAGCCTTTTATGTTTGATGTTCACATTAGGCCATCTGAAATCGATTCCTGGTTCCGTGTCCCCCCCCCCCCTCCTTCTTAGCTTGACAGATATCAGTTGTGTTGTGGCACAGATTGATGTATGGTAACAGTCATGAGTGATGTGTTCGGTCTTCAGTTTTCTGATGCCTTGGGAAATAATTTCTGTCCATTGAATATACCTTGAAGGCCACACCTTGCCATCGTGGTGATGAAGATACAGTAGATAGTGTGGTGTGGCAGCATTAAGGGGGTCCCATGGGACCCATTTAAAACCCCAGGTTGGATAGTTGTCGTTTATCTCCATTGTGCAAGCTTCTTCTTAATAAACAGTAAGAATTTATTTCCTTTTCAGACCTGAGCATATCCCTGAGGAGAGCATAAGGAAGCAGAGGCTAGACCAGGTCCGAATGGAGTTTAACAAGATCTACTCATCAGTGATTGGTCCCAGATACGCCATGGAACCCAGCACTGGAATAGGGGGTGTGTTAGGAAACCTGGTCACGAAAGTAGGACTCAAGGGTGGAAGGGGTCAGTACGCATAGCACATGGCCTTTCACATATGACTGCATTTTTTGGTGAGGTTGTAAGTCTTCACGTTTGCAAGGTGCCTGTTGAAAGTGCGGGTGGCGTGTATAGCACATGGCCTTTCACATATGACTTTGCTAAGTCTTCACATGTAAGAGGAGTCTCTTAGCATATAGCACATGGCCTTTCACATATAGTAAGTCTTCACAAGTGAGAGGTGCTGGTTCATTGAGGTAGCACATGGTCTTTCACACATGACTGTAAGTCTTCAAAACGTGAGAGGTGCCTGTTGAGGTAGAAGATATTGCACATGGCCTTTTACAGATGACCCAATTTCATGTGTGGTTGTAACTCCTTGAGCATAAGAAGCTTGGGTTAATGCTGGGGCTGTATACGCAGCACAGACAGCTCCACTTCTGGCACCAAGAGAGTGATAAAAGAGTTCAGTGTGATTGTGGTAGCTGCAACATCGTAATCCATGTATGCCTGGAACCATCTCAAAGGATGATCTTTGTTTGGAGGATCTTCATCATTGCAGCAAGCTACAAAGTCAGACACCATCTGGGAGAGGTGTGATCTGTCTGCTGTAATATTTGCTTCATTCCAATCACGGCACTGCAGTTAAGACCTTGCCTCGCATCAGCTTGTGTCCTAGCCGGGCCCTGTATCATGATAATAACTCTACCTACAATCCATGTTAAAACTCTATAGTAATCCCCTTTCTTGCTACAATCTTATAGAATATTACTGTTGATTGATATGATTTATGAATGAGGTTCTTGGGAAGACATGGGGAAGTTTTAGGGAGTTGAAACTTTTTTTCTTTCTAGAAATATATAGACCATTCCCTGTTGATTATATGTTTTCATGTACGAATGGTAGTATTCCAAAGCTATCTGATGTGTAGTGCAAACTTGTTCTGCTTTGAATAGTGCTGTAGCCATGGTTCATGGCAATACTTGTATAATTTTAACTTGGATTGTCCTAGTATTTTTATATTTTTTCATTTTTGTTGGTCATAAGTCTCTCTCTCTTTCTCTCTTTTTTTCTCTCTGAAACTACCCAAATTGAAATTAATGAGTTGATTTTAATCTTCATTTCCCATTTTTCAAACGCCTTGATAGTTAAGCAAGTTTTGATTTGCAAAATCACTTCTTGTGGTGTTTAACAAAAGTGATGATGGTTCTTTTTGAAAATATTCTTGGATGTATATTATTCAAGCGGCGGGTTTTATAGCACTTAAAAAAATTCTTTCTCTCATCATAATTGGGTATTTCCAGATCGATTGTTCAGTGTAGCATATTATCTACATTCAAAACACCTCAAAATGATACTACGTGGCTACCTATATAACTCTCATGTTTGTCATATGGTAATGCTTTATGCACTCCATTATTAGTATTGCCCTGGTTTATTGCATAATCATATCAGGTACCCCTTAACAGCAGGGTAACAGTGGCACATGCCTCGTCAAATGTGAAGAGCTAGGCTGTGATTTGAACCGTCAACTTATTGAATTAAAGTAAAGTGAAGCGACAAAAGTATCAATACCATGATACCTCCACTATTAACAAGACTTGTTGCAGTAAGAGGGGGCAATATCGTTTCTTTGGAGCCAGGAAGGCGTTAACTCTGTATAAAATATGAATTACTATCCTTCTGGCTCCAAACAGACAATATGTCATTTGAGTGATGCAATTAAGTTTCTTTACCAAAAATAAAATCTTTTAATATTTTTTTTATTTTTTATTTTTTATTTAAAAAAAAAAAAATCCACACTTGACACTTGAAGATGAAGGCCAAACAATTAAATCTTGCCACTTCTGGATGAGTACAATCATTTTCAGAAAATTGATCCAGCTGAATGGTATGCCTTCATTATATATATTATTTAACCTGTTTACATGGGCATGAGGATAATCAAATTGATTGAAAAAGTAATGAAAAACATACATGAAAGGTTTATGGAATATCAAAATTTCTTATTGAAAAATTGACATTGGTTTTCAAGTTAAGATATGACTTTCTTTCTAACTCTGTGTAATGAGATGATTAATTTTAAAGAAATGTCATACAATATTTGATTTGTCCACATGTGATCTTGCTTTCCTTGATTATTGTGAACTGATTTTTCAACATACATGTAGTACCTTTATACATAGAGCACACCTAGATCCTATTTCTTTCCATGTAAGCAGCTGTTATATGATAATGAATATGTCCATTTATGAACTGCAGCTAGTATATGAATATACTCTGCTGCGCTTACTGATTCAAAGTATCATAGTATTAACTCCGCTGTAGGTGTCAAGGGATTTCTTCCTACTGGGTACCCATTTACTTCACCTGGGTGGAGAGTGGCAAATGTAGATTGATATCTTGCCAAAGGACATGAGTGCTGCGGCGGGACTTGAACCACAAACAATGTAATCCACAGAATGTCCTCCAATGTTATAGGTATGGCCTGTTAGTTTGTTACATTACAAACTCAAATGCATTTATTTCTCTCAATATAACATGTCCATCAGGAAAATTATCGACCTAATTTTTCTTTGACATAGGGAGGTTAATTATTTTATAGTGACATGGCAAATCATTTGGCATAAGGACATAGCATTGTCCAATTTTTCTGAAATATGGGAATGTAGGATATGTGTTGAAATTGTTTTGAGAAAGTCTGTTTATAGTCTAAGAATTTCATCTTTGTGTAAATATCTATGTAGAATTTAATTGTTCCTTTCTTGTTTCTCTACTGAATTTGTCTATGTTCTGTTGTTTCCCATATGTGTATTTTTGTATCACACAAGAGAGTAATATATATAGATATATACGTTTTATTAGTTAATATACAAAGTTATTTGGATGAAGCACGTACCAAAATCCCTATCAAAACTTTCAACTATTTTTGTGGAATGAGTGAATATTTGAGAGATTAAGGAAGATGTGGAAAGAAAAATGATTTTGTTATTGTAATATAACTAATGAAATTCCCCATGCTTAATGGTTTTATTACTATAAGTTTTGATCTACTTGTATGTTGGGGAAATAAATGCTCTGTATGTTTCTGATCTAATGTTGGATTCAACTTAAGGTATGTCTAGTAAACTCTGCATGTGTTGTTCTTAGTCCATCCAACATATTCTGCTGCTGATTTATATTAACAAGCAAGTTTTAGTGCAATGCTATGATAGTAAAATTAAAATAATAATTTATTAAAGTAATAACAGCCAGGATAACAGCACATGGGAAGAGCCCTGTTGATGCCTCGTATAACTAGTAAGGATATAAAAAATAACTGTTTTTGTCTTTATTGCATGAGCCATCCCCCATCTTATATCATACTACTAACAATGATTCACAAGACAAGGAATTGTGTTGGACTACCGGTACATGCCTAAAGATTTATTTTGAACCAAGTCCGTTCATGATCCAAAGACATAAATAGCTGGCATGAAATTCCGGAATTTCATTTGAAATATGGTTTAAGGATAGTTTTAACATTTTTGGTGGCTTTGAGAAAAGAGTCAGTAGTGGAGAGGGAGATTTATTTCTCTTGAGCAATGGTATTTGTTGGTAATTATGGCATGTTTTAACACCGGGTGCCAAGTAAACCCAGAATTAAAACCAAATCAGATTTCAGAGAATGTTTTCCTTTACATATCACTAAATGATTTTTAAAATCTTGCACGTGTGTTTACATGGTCCACAATTCAAAAGAATAATTTGACAGTGTACCTGAGGAAAATTCCCCTCAATTATTCAATATTTTTCATGAAAATGTGATGTATGAATAATTTACTAGAAAATTATGCAGGAGGAACCCACCGCTATTACCGATCCAGTGTAGTACCATTTTTGTTGTCTGATTAATCATGCAACATTTAGGCATGGAGCAGCATCATTCTTATTGAAACTAAATGGTTGTCTGGAAGTCTAAATGTTACTTCATATGATCAGGACATTCCTGAATTACCACAGGCTATTTTTTTTTAACTTGAAAACTTGATTTTTGTTTTTTGAGTTGTTGTCCTTAAAAAGATTGTTATTTCTGTTGGACCAATGCAATTTTGGCATTCTGAATCTAAAATGTCTTTTACTAAAGCATGTATGTATTTCTTTGTTAGGTCATTGATATGAAACATAATATTAATGTATCAGAATATTAATGTATCAGAATATTTAAAAATAAATGATTTTTATTTACAAAGCAGGGCTTTATGTGTGATAAATATGTGTATTTCAATTATCAATAAATGTTATTTAATTAAACATGCAATGGGAGGGGGTACTGAATGTAAGTGGCAAAACTGGTGTATAAAGCACTAACAAGCATAACGGGGTTCATATAGCAGACTGATGATACTTGAATCTAGGAACTAATGCATCCTATACATCTTATTAAGAGGAAAAAATCCAATCCTGATGGGCCACATTCTCATAATGGAAGACTGAAAAGACCCAATACCTTGATAAGTAACATAATTATATCATCTATTAATGCAGTGAGCGACCTTCGGGGGAAACTGCTCTAAGTCGCTTGAAATTAGGGACGCGTCTAATGACGAGAGGAAAAAGGGATGCTTATCGAATGGGATAAGACACTTATTAGAAAAGAAAAGGAGCATGTGCTAAAGTACAAATAGTAATTTTCAGAGTAAAAAGTGGGGCACTTCTTATACCTACAAAAAAAGGCACTCGCCACGGATGAAAAAAGGCACTTATGAAAATAAGAAATGGGCTTTTGTCGACGGAAAAAACAGAAAGGAAAAGGAGCACTTATGAGAATAAAAAAGGGGCACTAATAAAAAAGAAAAATGTGCATCAGTTGAAAGAAAAGGGACACCGATCGGATTTTAATAGGTGCATTTATTGAAGGTGAAAGGGGGCTTTCATGAGAAGGGGGAAGTGGACCTCGTTGAAAAGAGAAAGAGGCATGTTAAAATAAACGGGACACTTATCAGAGATTAAAAAAGGGGTAATTATGAGAATGTTAAGGGGAAGGGGCACTCGTAAGAAGGAAAAATCGCGTTTATTAGAAAGGAAAAGGGGCATTTGTCAGAGATAAAAAGAGCACTTATTAGGAGGGGAAGGGGCAGTTATCAAAGTAAAACGAATATATCTCAGATTAGAATAGGGGCAATTATCTAAAATGAGAAGGAGTAACTTCTCATACCGGAAAAGGAGCATTTATGAGAAGGGAAAGGGGCTCTTTTTTTAATTGGGGGCACTCATAAAGGAAAAGGGGTACATGTGAAAATATAAGATGCGCTTATCCGAGTTAATAAAAGGGGAAGTGACACTTACTAGAGATTAAAAAGGGCACTTTTGTTAATGGAAAGTGGACACTTATTGCAAAGGAAAATGTCAAAGGGAAAGGGGGACTTATCAAAATACAAGGGGCACTTTTTGGGTACTTGAAAAAGTAGGGGCACTGTAATATAAAGCCTGAGAAATTGTCATCATTCTACAGCATTTTTCAGATATGCCTCAGTTTTTAAATGTATTACATGTACACTTCACATATCTGTATATTAACCACAGAGCCAAGTGAATACTTAAATGACATTTGTTCCATGCAGTTGCCATTCCTCTACACGTAAAATAACTGCGGCAGTTTACCGTGCCAAAACTGAATAAGCTTTAAGGGTTACTTCGAAAATTCTGCAATGATAATCATCAAAAATATCTTTACAGCATTAGGAAGCATGCGCCTACTGCAAGATATCAATCTGATTTGAATGTTCATAAATTTATAATAATTTTCTAACTCTGTTCGTTTAATCAGACATGGATGCTTTGTTTTAATCCATTTTGTCTACATGTAGTTTGCTATGAAGGACATACAAGGGTAGTGTATTTGGCAGTTAGTACTAATAAACAAAGAGACACATACATAAAAATCATTCACAAAATATTTAACTGTCCAAAGATTTTAATTTAATCTTTCAAATAATACTTGTCACTACTTCAGACACAAATATACCTCTGACAAAAATGGTAGTTGTCTGAAATAGATGGCAAAGAAATGTTAACATATCAACTCAAAAAGAACAGCTTGAACGTAAAGAAGAAAGAAATAGATTGGGACGAGGTGGCATTTGCATTGTGACCAATGTATAAACGAAAAACAAAGTGGTCGAGCATTTATATACATAGTAAGATGTTGTGTCTGCTACTCTCAGACTTGGACAAATTTTGAGCTCAAATTGGCAGGGTTCTACAGCTTTAAGAACACTTGAGAATAATATTTATGCTCTATAATAAAAACTCCCACATTCCCCGTACAGATGACATTACACACACTGAAGGCTCTATGACTAATCAACTATTACTAAAACTTTTCTTGGAATGAAACAAAAATATTGAATGACATACTTGCTGCACAATTATTTTGATTGGAGTGAAAAATTAGGCCTAAACATCGACAATTTACAGCTTTTCATGCTGAGCATCGCTTAATTAAAACTTGAATTGACCAATCCACAGTCAATTACATTACTCAATTACATTACAAACTTGCATGAGGCAATACACAGCCACATAATCATAGATAATTTACATGCACACATTGTATTTTGAAACAGAGATGAAAAGAATTCCAGGCGTACTCCTACGACATATAGCACAATCTAGACCGCAATTCTTTCGATCCCCTGTTCACGTAATCATATAACTCTATGACATCAATTCATACAGTTCAAGGTTTCCCTGATAACCAACGTGCAAAGATGGCATAACAAGAGGTCCTTACATTGGCAAGACAAATTCAAGGAATTATTTCATTGAATCTGAATTCCAATTTAAAGCAATTAGCATTTGTTTCAATAAAGTCCAAAATGTAAAGGTAAAAAGGGAAGAATTGAGAAAGTAAACATGGAAACGAAAATAATCAGAACACAGTAAGAACACTGTGCCAGAGATTTGTTATTTACAGTATAGTTCTCTGTGACAAGAACTAATCTAAAGAGTCTGAAATACCTTGCCTGCTTACTTGCTAATGCCAGGATTCTTTTACACTGTAAACAATGCAGCTATCATCACAATTGCTAGAAAGGCTAGATGAGATATTTTAGTCCCCCCCCCCCCCCTCTAAAAATAAGTAATATGCTAAACATAAACTGATGTGTTATTTTTATGACTGTGAGATGCAGCGAAGACACAAACACAGGCTCATTTATAAGATGCATAGTGGCGTACCAGTCCTGTTAACTTGGCTTTTAGAGTGACAAGACGCACATTATGGATTTGGTTCATGCGACCCTAATCACTTCTAATAAAATACCTATCCTAGTTTGATAATTAATTATTTATTCTAGCTAAGTTGACTAGTGCTAGAAGAGTAATGCCCCCATGCTACCCATCTCGCTTTGTTCCTTTACGAAGATCTCAAAGTATTGGTAGATGATAGTGACAGCCAGCAGGATACCTGTTCCAGAGCCGATGGCTCCTAGAAGGTCAGCTAACACCGACAGGGCACCGATGCACAGACCACCAAAGGCTGCTGCAGTTGGGATGTACCTGTAGATGGATAAGAGTTTAGAATACAAGACATGAATTAATACAGTTCTACGATATGTGAGACAGCTTCAGTTGCTCCATTACTGAAGACAATTTTGCTGGAGCAAATTTCAGTTCACTTAAACTATGTCTACTTCCCCCAGCAACTATAGAACGCTTCAATATATTTGACTTTATGTATCTCCTGTACACCATGGTCAAGTTTTGTTCCAATTGGCCATATCACATCATCAAAACTGCCTTATCACACAATATTTGCCAGGTATAAGTTGTTGCTAACTATCAGGCACAAATTCAGTTTCCAAGATCAACATTCAATAAGAATTCATTAATTGTAAATAGCATGGCCTACTGAATACCGTTCAAAAGTATTGAACAATTATTGTTTGATTTCGCATTTCTAAACGATCTTATCCATTAACCTCTTCCACAGTTTTTATATGAATTTTCAGCTGTCTAATAAAACTATCTATTGGCTTGCAAGCCATTTACAACATGAACTCACCTGTTCAATTCATGGATCATTGACTTCTCTCTGTGTCCCCTCATCACCATCTGTTGTTCCTTCAGTTGTTTAGCAACCTGTATCAACAAGAATAAACAAAATCAAATTATTGCTCTTTACAAAATGGGGTAGGAATGACTTTGAAAGAACTAGATGTGCTAAATCCCCTTCTATCAATTTGATTCCATAAGGAACCCTATTCTTCACCGTTTTGATAAAAAAATTGTCATATTCTTTTCATGGTGTAATTTCCTGTAATACATTTTCTCTTTCTAAGATATAACACAAATATTTAGCACTAAATCATATATTTCTCTACACCTGAACTTGCATTTTAATGAATCATTTGTATTAATTTACATGCCAATTTAATAAAAGTAAACGTTATTACTGTATTGATATATGATCACTACATTAACACATGAAAAGTCTGTAAAAATCATTGGGCCCTATATTCAAAGTACTGCACAATATTACTTATATTTGAGACATATAAGTTCCAAGAGAGGATTTAACTCACATCCTTGGCAGATGATCCTGAGACTTCGATCCAGGTCTTGGAGAAGAAGGCGCATGAGCCGAGCATGAAGACGATGTATGCCATGGCATGGATGGGATCAGATAGGAAACGGGAGAAGTTCTCTGGAGGTGACATGTAGTAACAGAGACCACCTACAGGGTAGGAGCGGGCAGGCCCTCCATCACCAGCCTCCTGTATCAGGTCGAGTAAAGAGAGAGAGGGTTGAAGGGGTTTTATAGGGCTATTACACACTATGACCATCTTTTACAAAATACATTTTATCCGCAATCAGGGAGATCATAATGTCTCTAGGGATGTTTAGAGTACAAGTGCTCTATCAGCTTATACAGTGGAACCTTGTTATAACAAAGTCCTTGGGACCAATGAAATTTCCTTGTTGTATTGAAACCTTCTTAAACCATGATTCATACAAACTGAAATAGAACCAGCAAAAATACCTTGTCATAGTAAGAGTAATAGTTTGTTACAACAGTGTACTTTACAAGGCCCATTATAAAATACTATACAATTAATGATAATCGTCTAAAATGGAGGGGGGTGGTGGTTATGTGCTCAACAAATTAACCTTTAACCTATGCAAATATAGTGGCTCCTATTAATTCAGTAAACAATTGATTAACATTCTCAATACATGCAAACCTCCAAAGGGCTTGTATTTAACCTCTAGCTTTCATGTAGGGGAATGTACTGTTGCTCAGTTGTAAATCACACATGTTAATAATCACAAGGAGATTTAAATGTAGTCCAAGCAAACAGCAAACTTAATATTCCTGTGCTTTATTCTGCTCTGCATGTGGGTTTATACACACAGAGCAGCAGTAACGCACAGGATAAAAAAGTACCGCACTCGCTATGTTACAATGTTTTAAGTAAATAATACAAGGACAAAGTCCCAACTGACTAGCATCTACATTTATGAATGTTATTTGGAGACCAATTTGGATAAAATATTTATCCTTTTTAGGAATGACTGAGAGTTTAAAATAGCAAGCAGACATTGTATATTGCATCATTACTGGAAAATAGTTGTTAAGTGTACCAATCCCCAAAATATGTGTTGTTCTGGATTAGGGGGTTCAATGTCGCTATGCTGTATTCAACATTTAAGCTTCAAATATTACTTCTACAAAGAGATACAATGCAGTTTGAATACCCTCTGTGAACAGTAAAACTTCTTGATGAATAGACAAGTACAAACTTGCATATTATGGGGCTCGCACAGAACCGTAGTCCGACTTCGGTTTCATGCGTGCCTGATACACTATTCTATTCATTCTAGCTATATGCACAATATATACTTAGACGATTGGTACATTTCAACAGTGACATAAAATACTTACAGCCCAAACACCAAGTAAGTTGACAAAGAAGTTTCCACTGAATTTAACAGCAAGCATCTGTAAAAATCAGGAGTATAAATGCATTAGTATTGACAAATTTAATTTATTAAGATTTTGCATAATAGTGATTTCTAGCTGAGATTTCAGCAGCCACATTAAAGGAAACTCTGTACATGTATAGTATAGAAAGTATCATGCAGTACATAAATCTGAATATATCATTCAAACTATAATCACTCATGACTCATCAGTTACAGCTGTAACTGCACATTGAAAAAGGAAATTGCAATTAACACTCAACACTTCGTCTCGAGTATATTTGACAAAATCTTTTGTGAATCGCGCCAAAATCTTTATGAACTGCAAAATAATATTGGTAAGGCAATGACATTCTGACTCCTGCGATTCCATTTAAAAATGATTTTTGATAATCAATTACCTGCGAGATGACGTAAAGATTTGAGACGAGAGCGCTCTGAAGGATGATGGGAATGTTGGAGGTATAGAAGAGCTTGATGGGATAGCTGCTGTACTGTCCTCGGTAACGAGCTGATTTGATTGGCAGATCGACACGGAAGCCCTGAAAGATGAACACACAGTAGGAATTAGAAATTATGTCAATCAGAGAAATACGGCTTGAAAGAAAAATACCAAGGATAAAATCTCACTAACAAACCTACACATTTCACATAAGTAATAAAATCCTTTGAAAATACATCCACACTCTACATCTGCTGAATTACAATCGAAATGATGAACTCCTAAAAATAAAAAGAGAAAACAAATTCTAGGAAGAAGATTGCCTATCCAGTATCTCTTATGACCAGCTGAGCGCACAAGGGCATGTGGTCTACATGAACTAAAATGCAAGATGACGTAAAAATCATGCCCTTCTGGCTTTTTTTAACCCTTACTGTACTGGGGGGGGGCCTGGGAGGCCCCCCCCTCGACATTTTCGGAGATTGCGCCGCAACCGCTTGGAATTTTGAATTGTCGTTTCATGACTTTTTTCCCTCAAGTCTTACGCACATTTTGATACCATTTTCGTCAAAATCGGATATACCTGTAAGGCGTTACATAACAATTAGTATGCGCATGTCATCAAAAAAAAAAAAAAAATGAAAATCGCATCAAAATTTGCATAAATTATCATTATTAATTACATTAAAATAACTCTTTTGTGTTAGAAAAGAAGTTTCATATGAATAATGAGTTTCAACATTCAAAACATGGAGTTTGACACGTTTTCGGTAAAATGCATAAAATTAGCGCATTTTGCATAATTAATTAGGCTAACGACAAAAATTTGCATATTCGGAAAAAACTAATTATACCATCTTGTTTCTTACGTAAATATCTACAAACATGCAAATTTTCGTGTCCATCGGACAATCGACGGCCGAGATCATAGGGGGGGGCCTCCCAGGCCCCCCCCCAGTCAGTGGGTGCTCAAAATAGCCCAGTACAGTAAGGGTTAAGAGACAGCACAACACAGAATGACGATGTATGAAGCTTACTGACCTGGAAGTAGATGACTATAGCAAAGACGAGGATAGTTGCCATGAGGTTCATCAAGTTGGGGAGGTTCTGACGGTAGAAGGCCTCACGAAGACCACGTACCTTATCCTGACGGGTGGCAAGGAGATGGAAGAGGGCAATGATTGCACCCTCGAACTCGGTTCCTGCAAGGAAAGAACATGATTTGTAGTGCTCATTATAAAAGAGAGGAACTTCAATTATTCATTTCTTTTTTGTTATATTGCCATTTTCTTTAAACTCTTTCCAAGCAGTTTCCTAGATATTTCTGCTGATAACAGGGACAAGGAATTTTCTGTGAATTGGTGAGTCGCATGTCGTTAAATTTGTGAATTTACAGCAAAAACTACTTATTGAATATGAAGGACAGACTTACCACGTCCAGTGTTGACTGTGGCAGGACTGAATGCTCTCCATACAATGGTCTCACAGATGTTGGTGGCAATGAAAAGTGAGATACCTGAACCAAGACCATAACCCTTTTGCAGCAACTCATCCAATAACAAAACAACAAGGCCAGCAACAAACAACTGCAAGAAAAGAAGCATACAACACATTACTGATAGAGATCATCATTAGCCCAACATAGCAAAATCATGATTCATCTCATGAAGCTAAGCCATTTTGTGTAATATCAAACAGAATTAAAGATTATCAAACACAAAAGAAATCACTTTATGTTGTAAATATGCAATGCTTATATGTAATAGGGAAATGCTTTATTTCACACTAGACTATTATTTGTAATCATTACCTTTATAATAAAACTATGATCAAAATAATACAGAAAACTTTCATCAGTTGGGGATAATGATAACATGTAGTTTTTTAAGCTTCTACAAGATTACGTGCACAGATTGTAACAATTCATATGTTGGGGAAACTGGCAGAACTCTTAATGAGCGTCTAAAAGAACACAAAAGAGCCCTCAGATTGAGCAACCCATCCCATTCAGCATTAGCTGAACACGCCCTCAACACAGGACATAAACATTGGATGGGAGGATGCCCTCATAATAGACTTTGAAAGTAACTTCTGGTCAAGAAAGGTGAAAGAGTCCATATGGATTAAGAGGATTAAGCCATCACTAGACAGGGACTCTGGGTACCCATTGTCACCGATCTTTGGTCCAGTGATCGCAGAACGCCAGGTAGTGCAGCGAAGCAAACGTGTGACTCAGACTGATCACTTAGCTTGAGAAAGTCCACAGGAGTGGATGAAAGCTTGCATAACAGATTTAAGGTTGGTAGAAGCTTAAAAACTACATGTTATGATCAAAATGTTACCAAAATATTAAAAAGACCAACCTGAATAATGATAACAAGGCAGATACCAGCTCCGATCTCAGCAGGGTCTCCGTACATACCAGTCATTACATACACGATAGCTTGACCCACAGTAATGATCATACCGAACACTGGTGAGAGAGAGAGCAAACAAATAGGTCTTGCATAAAATAAAAGTATGACATGAATATTTTAGAACCTTCTTTGACTTATATTCTCAATATAAGTTTAGATGACAAACAACCTAATTGGGTCTTTTTTTATTAAAAAAATATAAAATTCATTGAAAAAAATTATTATTGGGTGTAATCATACATGACAAATTTGAAGAAAATCACTGAACATTTTTGTACGAATACCCTAATCCAGCTTATTTATAATGAAGAGGTCATGGATTAACAACATTGTGTTCATGAATTAACACACTAAGAGTCAAATAGTTATAGCTCACAATACCTTTTTCAAGATAGATATTGATGTACATGTAATTTCCTTGGTTATTTTTAACCCCTTGACTACTGATATCTTTTAATTACCATAAGTGTAATACATGAATATCCCGATTTCCCTCGGCAATGAGTTAAGCTTACATTTCTGAGCGCCATTGAAGAGGGCCCTGTCCTTAGCAGTATCTCCGACCTCGATGATCTTGGCTCCAGCCAGGAGCTGCATGATGAGACCGGAGGTAACTATGGGGGAGATACCCAGCTCCATCAAGGTTCCTCTGTTGGAGGCTAGGATGACTCTCATCCAGTAGAATGGATCAGCAGAGTCTGATGACATGATTCCAAACAGTGGAATCTGCAGACAAGGAGACAAGGAGAAAAGTGTTGAAATCCTCAATCATGTAATGAACGCAGTTATCATCTTTAGTTCATCATTGTGATAGGATGCACAGCGATTTCAAAAATACTAGAAACTATGGAGCACAATAGCATATTTGAATAACAATGAAATCCACACTGACTTGGCCATATAAATCTTGTAATTGATTTTGTTATCAATGTCACCCTCATATTCAAGTCATATTTTTCCTGAATTTCAGGATCTTTTTAAATCCTACCGAGAAAAGCCAACCAGTTACTTGAAAGCATTATCCAAGGTCCCTATAACTGAGTCACACAATTTAAAAATCTACCCGTTAGTACAATCAATTCTTTATACATCCAAACTTATCTGATTATTCTAATGCATGCCAAAGGAAATGGGCATGAAAGAAAATTGCATTAATACCGATTTCTATCACATAACTCACCTGACAACATACGAGGAAGATGAAGAGTGTGATGGCAGTCCATAACACTTTCTCTCTGAACTGGATCTGTTTAAAAGGAGTAACATAAATCGAATCAGTCATACATAAGCATTACATGCTATATAGGAGCTCAAGAGTGATGCAATTGGAGCCCAAAAATACTATCAATGGGTTATAAAACTTGTAATGCAATAATGCATGAAATCAGTAAAAATATGATAACCAATTCAAGTTAAAATTAAAGGTACCTAATCATCATATAACCCCATAGAAGGATATTTGGTAATGGAATACACATACTAATGTTTAAACCAAAATTTGCAAATTTTTCATTACAGTGTCATTGCAGTAACATATCCCTAGTGGCATGTTAATCTCTAGCCTTGAGCTATCTCCCATGAATCATGTTCCTGAAAGGAAACAGACAAGACAAGCTTTAAGGTCATTTTAAGTCAAAGGCATACAACTTATATTCTTCTGGATTACATTCAGCAGTACAATTTATATCATTAAATATACAACAGCTGCAACTTTACATAGCTGTAATCCTCTCAATAAATTGAATTCGTATTTCAAATATTTTGTACTACGAGTGTAGATTGGAAGTGAGAAACTCTAACTAAAATACAATTTGCACACTGTGCTGTCAACTTACTTTTCTTTCAGGTTTTGAAATTTCTGGCAGGATTGCACAGAAAGGCTTGAGGATTTCCAGAAACTTCACTGTTAAATCAAACAAATATTGGAGAAAAAAAATGAATTGAGATCATAGCCAAAAAACATGAAAATGATTAGGTAGTTCGAACATTATATTGACTTCACAAAAAAGAAGGGAAAGAGGAAAATCAATTAGAGTGCACTTTCACAAAATCATAATTCTAACCTCTTTTTTAAAATAAACCTGCCATTTTCATGTTCAGTAAGTCAGTTATTGTAAAATTTAGAAAATTTACTGTGAAATGTTGATATCTTGGTGCAGATAGGCAGTGTCTTCATTAAAAAAAAATTGTCAAACAATTCTCTATTTACAACTAAGTGTTTGTTTGTTTCAAAAGAGTAAAATATTGTTACGGCTTTCACTCTTTTTCCCCTTTCATTAATGAATTTCTTGTTGATATTAAAATGATAATTGTCAAAAAACCAATTACCAAACATATTCAATCACGGCAAATTTGAAACATCAACACCAGGGCTGCGTCTCACAAAACTGTCACTAGTACAAGTTTGGCGTGACGCTCAACTTGTACTTATCACGGTTTCGTGAGATGCAGCCAACATTCTCCTCCTACTTCTAGAGAAATACAAGTCATACAGCACATAGTTGCATATCTCTGATAACTACGATAAGAATGGAGGAAGATGAAGGAGAAGGAAGAAGAAGGAAGAAGAAGGAAGAAGAAGGAAGAAGAAGGAAGGAGAAGGAAGGAGAAGGAAGGAGAAGGAAGAAGAAGGGGTAGGGACAAAGCAGTAATAACAAGAAGGGGGGGGGGAAGAAAAAGAAGATATTTTGAAGAATAGAAGATGTCAGAACTTCTCACACTTTTACAGTTGTGATTCTTTGAATAATGACAACAAAGTTTTATACAATAAAACCAAAGTAGATCTATATTGTTCTAAATCTAATATTACAGTTCAGTATCATGCCATGGACCGTTAACTATTTAATCATCAAATCTGTTTTTGTGTTTTTTTTTGCTTTCAAAATTGAAAAGTCTGAAAATTGTGATCTAAACTTCACGCTTGAAAAACATGTCAGATCATTTAGACCGCTATATTCTAAACTAAGATGTATCATTTGCAATATGGCCAGTTTCAATGGTGCCAAAGAAACTATTCCTATTAGTCTATTGCTAAATTGTAAAAAGATGGTTTTGTCTTGTCTTCATCGCATACGCATTCAAAGCTCAAAGTTAATCAAAGTGCACAGATGGCACATATTCCCATTCATATTACACACACAAGCACAAGCACAAGCACAGTCAGTGACACGTACATCGAAAGCTACATTCATTTCACAGTATCACAGCAGCCGCAACGCGTCCGTACAACTCAAATTCTTTACATTTTTACAATGAACTAAATATTGATATTAATGTCCCAACACAGTTGCTAAATGCATTAACATCAACTTACCCATGATTGCTTCTTTTTCTGGAAGTTATCAGATGTTGTAGGAGGAGAAACCAAGAGAAAAACCTTGGTAAATATGGGTCTTTGGGCAGGAACCGTCTCACAAGTACACTGGCCAACGTTAAAAAAGGCTGGGTCACGTGACGACACGTACACGTCGGCATTTAGAGCCTAAATTTCAGGCGTTGTATGGTCACATCCTGTCAAAATCAGAACAATCGAGTTAAAATACACCAATTTGTAAGCTTCCGACTCATTTATAAGAGTCAACAGGGGTAAGGTCACGGTATTTAAACAGTTTTTAGGTTCCAGTCTAATAGGTTTTAACTATCTATTCGCTGCATATTGGTAGACAATCACAAGATACAAATATCATACTTGTAAAAGACTAATAATAAAACCACTACCCTCTACGTAGCTACTGACTTGGCATCTGTAATTCTCCTTCCCCCTCCACGTATTCCCACGTATTCCACACTGATTCCACATCACCCCGATCCCTATTATGACTCAGAGCCCTTTTTTATAGACAGGGGCGGATCCAGGAATTTCTTACCGGGGGTGGGGGGCTGGATCCGTCCCTGATAGATATTGCTTTGTATTTGTATAATTGGTTTGTATTTATTTTATCTGTGAAATAATAAGCCTCGAGAACTGTGAGATACCCTTTACAATAATTTGTTTGTAAACGCCAGCTATAACCCCGCACTAATTAGCCGTAATACTACTAGATGAGGGGAAATTTTATATCCATATGTGTGCAATGTAAAATGGGAACACTTATGAAAGTACCCGAAAATTGATTAGTGCCTTATGGCTCCCTCTAAAAAAAAGGGAGGGGCGCAGAAAACAAAAAACCGAAAACGCGTAACTATAAGGGGATGTTTTGTTTTTTTTATAGAAAAACGTCCATTTTGGGCCATTTTCGAGAAAAAGAGTATTTTTCAAAATGGTGCTGTACGCGCCGGTGATACGTGTTTAGGGTAATTTTATAGCCTCCAGGGCCAGACCGCGGGAGAAAAAAAAGGGGGGACATACTGCGCATTGGCGAGACTACCGGTCGCCGCCTGCGCCTGCCGGTCTTTAGAGCTTCAGTAGATCAAGATGGATGCCCACGATACCGCCCAAGACCTACCAAGTCTCACGCACATAGCTGGTCCCTTATAATTTGTATATACTTTGTTTTGCATAGTAGAATAGTAACTGTTCATCATACATTGTGTACTTTTTTTAAACACTACATGTACTTTACACAATATAGACCAAATCTGAAATGTAATCCTTTTTTTTTCCGTTAAACTCATTTGGAAGTGTATGTGTTATTGCTTCTCTATTGAAATCAATTTCAGTTACATTGTGAATTTTACGTCAGAAGCGCAATTTGATTTATTTCACTTTGTCAACAACTGAAATGGTAATCCATATCGCACTTCAAAATGTTCAAGGGGTTACAATTTGACAATTAATACTTGTTTAGGAGACTAGGAGTACACTTTTTTGAAATACCCGTTTAGGGTGTGACTTCGGGAAAAAACGACGCAAAATCCTTATTTTGGGTGTATTTTGGCTTCATAAGAAGTCCTCGTTTAGGGGGTGTCTGGAAAACTTCTGACCACGCATGCTTACAGTATTTCTACATGACTGAGACCCCCGGGGAGGCACCCCAATCGAGAGATAAAACTAAATTTAAAAAATTTAAAAAGCGAGAAAAAAGGGGCGCACGAACGAGAAAAGAAGACGACTGGACCATGATCCCTACCCTCGCCCTAATCAGTAGCCAGTGTAAATTCGCATTTCGTTATTTTCCGACCGCGGTTCTCAGTTCCCCACCCCCTTTGCCATCTTTCCACGACTCGCGCTATAGTACGTCAACTCAATAGCAGGTAAAAATAATTTTCTAAATATTGGCAATCGAACGGTGGCGTACGCTGGATTTTTTTCAAGGGGGGGGGGTGTTTTAAAATTTGAAAATCGCGCCGAATATTTCGCAACGACTCAGCCTTCCTCTGAATAAGCGGGGGGTAAGAGCATTTTTTATTTGATTGGTCCCAAAAATTTCGAAACGACTGAGCCAGCCGCTGAATAGGGGGGGGGGGGAACACATTTTCCCCCCTCCTTTAGCCCAAACATTTTAGGGGGTTTAACCCCCCCCCCCCCTGCGTACGCGCCTGCACTCGATCACAGTCATGTAATTCTGGGGAAAGCATTTAGGCATGCATTGTGTATATGACAAGCCCATTCTTTTTTTTTAATTTTTATTTGTGTGTTTATAGTAAATTTTCAATCATATAAAAATTACATATTTACAAGTCATTGGTAATAATTAGACAAACAAACACACAAAAAACCAATATGTATAAGTACAAATAACAATAATGAAAGGACAAGAAATATACAAAACCATTACAGTAAAGAAAGACCTTGAATTTACCCAAAACATCCATCACTGGCACCATGGGCGTCGATCCTGGGGGGGACGGGGGACACGTCCCCCCCCCCACGAATTTTCAGGTGGTGAAATGTCCCCCCCCCCCCATGATTTTGGGTTAAAATCTTCTTCTTTTTTTTTTCTTTCCTTCTCTTTCTCTCTGTGTTGAGAAAAATCAAGCCAAATCAGGCGATCAGATTTTATTAATAGAAGCGTCATTAATATTACATTCACATTACCGGAAGCCTTGGTTTACGATGAAAATCCTTTCACCAACTGAAAAAAAAAAATCAAATTAATCCCTTGTATCTTCCAAACCTTGTTGCTGATTGTTCAATGGAAACGATAATTTCATCTATCTACCCCCCTTGCTTTCTAGTTCCTGTTAGTTGAACTTAAGACTGTTTCATTTTTAATTTGGTAAAAATTATGCCCCAAATCAAGCCATCTATCCATCAATTTTTAAAAAAAATCTTCAACTTCTGTGGGAGGCACACCCCCAGCGTTCTACTGTTTTTTTTTTTTTAATTTGGCAAAAAGAATGCACCAAATTGAGCCATCTATCCATCAATTTCATTTTTTTTTTTTTTTAACTTCTGAGGGGGCACACCCCACCCCCTGCGTGGCGCACCCTTTCGCCCCCTAACAAAATAACCTGGCGCCGCCCTGTCTGAAGTTGTGTCCCCCCCCCCCCTGTCTAATTTGGATTGACGCCCATGACTGGCGCACACGAACATGGTCTTAATAAGTAGTTTTATTTTTTTAAAGATTCTCTACAAACCCCCCAAATACAAAAAACATTCTAAACTTCATAGTTGATATTAGCATATGTCACCACACCGTCAGTTTCTGTGGAATCGAGGTGGAAAGGCATCATGTATTGTGTATGCGCCCCTGAGGTATACTTTGTATACACTACACATAGAAATCATAATTTTAACTACAGTGCATAAAGCGGATTAAGGGGGCACAGGAATAAAAGTTAAATCAACATGATATCATAAGTCAAATCGCCATTTCTTAAAATGCGAAACAAGCTTGTTTCTCTTTTTCGCTGAGAAATATTCAATACTCTATTTGTTTCTTTATAAAACTCTTAAAAAGATCAACACTTGGCAAATCCCCCTTAAATTTACAAATATAAATATAGTATTTTGCCATGCACTAACAAGTGAATCTGTCTGATGAAAAGCCAAAAAGTTTTTCAAAATTGGTAAGGTTAAATTTATTAATATGTTGTTTTTTATTATGTTTAACAAATATGTCCATGTCGGGGTAACCTTTTCATGACAAGCCCATTCTTGAATGACAATGTCAAAATGAAGAGTGATTTTCTAGCAAGGCCAATACGGAGGCAAAATTTCGCTCCCGCTCCAGAAAAAACTCCTCTTGGACCGAGTAATGGGCAAAGCCTGTTTCCATGGCCATGCACAGCTCAATCGATCAGCTGCGGCATTTCTTCGAATTATGCATCTTTAGTGTGGCATACATATTTACCATTTCTTTTCAATGACTTCTTAACGAAACAAGTTATATAGCGATTTTGCCATAAATGTAATGATATAATTCAGCTTTGGATTATTATGGAAATTTGTCAGTGGGGATAAGCCACTCTGGAAACCATGACGCATTGACGTCATTCAATAAACAAGATGGCGGAAACTCGATATGCCTCGAAGTTTTCAAGAGGAAATTTTGCATCAACTCGTAAATCATCTACTGCCGATCGCGCTTTAGTTAGAGCTTGAAAGAAATGTGAGAGAAGACACTTCGGTACTGAATTTCAATTTCTATTTTTCTAGCTTGTGCTTCAGAAGTTCAGACTGATTGATAATGGGATCAGCAAATTCATCAACCAGCGGCCCTGCAAGAGAGCCTGCACCCCATGAGTCGGCGCAAGTCGAACAGAATTTCCGCTCTGACAATGAGCGAGTTATGCAGCTTGCTCGGGCAATGACAACTGCGAAGAAAAGACGTCACCAAACTCCGGCATCATTGATGGCTAGTCAGGGAAATGACTTTGAAACGTACAATGTGAGAAGTTCCCCATTCATTTAATTTCTAGATTTATCTTCGAAAGTTCTAGACATTGATTAGATCTAGACTAATTCAGTCTTTAAGTTTAGTTTTAAAAAGTCAGATCTGATTCTGAATCTGATCAGTCAATGAATTCAATTTAATCAACGATGAATGAATAACAATTGACAATGTCAGTGATCTCATGAACTTTAATAATCAACATGATTAAAATCAACTTGAAACAAACAAATGAAATTGAAAGAATGAAGTTATTAGATCTAGACCTAATCAAAATGAATAAACTCAATTAGTCTAGATCTAGATTCTAAATCTAGTCTATCAAAAAAAAAAAAAAAATTGAATGAGCCTGATCTGAGCCCTGAAAATGAAATGTATCGTCAATGACTGAATTCTGAAATTTGAATGAATGGAATAATCAATAATAAAAGTGAGGTTTTGATATTTTTTGTTTGAATGATGTCTGCAGGAGAGCATCTTTATTCTGAAGCAGCTTTTCAAGCGCATGGATCCAGCAGTCACCAAGACATTGGGAGATGCCAAGGGAGAGGTGAAACTATCCTTGAAATATGATAAACGAAGGAGTATGCTTCTCGTCAAAGTGGTATCTGCAAGGGATCTCAGTGCAAAGGACATCAGAGGGCGCACATCTGATCCATTTGTTCAGGTAAATTTAAGGTTGATTGAAATGGGGATGGAGTGTAAGATAAATATAACAACACTACCTTGATTAGAACACGAGTCTATCTAGGTTCTCCTTGCAAAAGCATACATGTACATGCTTACTTAGCAGTCATGTAAATTACAATAATTGAATATCAGAAATAGACACATAATCTAGATTACTTGTGCTCTTTAACTTTTCCCTTATTTTTACATTGATTCTGGCAGTCTTGATTTTGAAAGTGATAATGTGCTTTGAAAACATGAATACTTTTATCATTTCATTCATTTCATCACCTTCCACAAATTGAAGTGAAATCATTTTTTATTCTTAAAACTGTATAAACTATATTTCTGTCAATTTGGAAATACAGTACCTTTATCATTTGTGCTTTACTAGATAACAAATATGTTTAAGTATGAGTGGAAAAATAAATCTGCTTATCATTATGATTAGGAATGTAATTATGCAGCTACATAATTAAGTTCAGACAAGATAGTTACTTTTGAAATGAATCGTCACTAAATTTTCTTGTATCTAGATGGAACTCATTCCTGACCTCCATGATGAAGGGAAGAAGTCAACTCAGTATGTCAAGAAGACTCTTAATCCCACCTTCAATGAAATCTTCACCTTCAAGTTGAGTGAAGAGGACATTGCAGAGACTCAGTTGAGAGTGAGAGTACTTAGTCATGATCCGTTTGGGAAGGCTGACTTCATTGGGGAGAACATCATCCAACTTGGAAGCATGGATTTCAGTGACATCATCACCAGCTGGTTTGAGTTGCAACCAGAGGTAGATAGACTTCTCTTGATTTGATTATGTGCATAATGTTAAAGTCATGATTGTTTAATGCAACATCAATCTAAAAAATGTTCAAATCTTCAGTCCATTGTTAACCCCAAATCTCACATGATTTAAGATAAATGTAAAATTCTCCATTTATTGCCATGTTTAAAGATAATCTTGAGTTCTGGTAAAAAAAGAAAATGAATTCTCACAGAATCTAATGAAACTTACACTGAATGTTCAAGATTACAAATAAATGTCATGTGCCAAACAATTTTGGAAGGAAATGTATACTGGCTGAGTAATGAGCATAGAAAGATAAGGAAATCAGGGTAGTACCAGCCCCGACAACATGTGTGTTGTCCCATGTACAGCTTTCTGTGTAAGTGATTGTTATACTTTACCAAGACTCTGCCAAATTTATGATGATTTTGATGACTCCAGAACCTTGCATTACACACCATTACTTACATGCTATATGATCAACTTTTCTGATCCATTCCACACCGTTTCTTTCACAATGCAATCACATTACCAGAACTCAAGTTTATCTTTAATCCAGATAAATAATAATGTAAGACACCTCTATTGGACTAGTCTTTGTGATGCATCTATGTGATTGGGCTTATTTTTAAACCAGAGTTGTTTATCTCTGTATTCTTCTGATCCTGACTTAAACTATGATGTACTGTACATCATAGTTTAAGTGCACATGTACAGTACATGCTCATGAAACCTTTCCTTGAATAGCAGTCACAATATGCATTACGTCAAAATGTGTCATATTATATTATGTAGCATGAAACATTCAATATTTTCATGTCTTTATATCATGTAATAAATGTTTGTGAATTGTGAAGACTATTCTATTTTGATGCGTATGCATGTTGCTTTTTAACCCTATCTTACTGTAGACTGATCTCGGCATCCAAGGAGAGCTCGAGATCACATTGACCTACCAGCTACCAGACACCCTAAAGGTCAGAGTTCATAGTGCAGAAGGACTAGTCTGCAGGGATGCTAAGAAGATGCCACACCCCTACGTCAAGGTACTGATTCCGGGCATACACAAGGTTGAGGAGACCAAGGTCCAGAAGAAGATGCTGGATCCTGTCTGGGAGGAGACCTTTGACTTCACGCTGGCTCAGGAGGAGTTCACGAACAGGTACGACCTTTGTCTCATAGGATGGGTAAAATGCATGACACGGCAATAGGACAATGATTATCAGTTATTGTATGGGAACAGGTAGCGATTTTCAAAAAAAGACCTCTGGATAAGATCATCCTTGATTATCAAACAATGAGTTTTACAATTTATGGACTGGTGTATATGCAACGTTATTGTTACAGTGAATTAATGATCGTCTTATTTTTTTAATTTCTAATTGACTAGAATGATGTATCTTGGGTAGAATGAGGAAAAATATGTTTAAAAAGAGAATTTAGTAGATAATCATTTTATGAAAGTGGGAGATGTGTTGCAAGTTAAATCACAGTTGAATGACCCAATTTTCTTTTTAACCATTCGCCATCATGGTTCTCTTTGTTATTCTGCTTTCACACAATTTAACTTGTTAACATGGGTTGGTCGATCTACAATAAAAATGGGGGGGGGGGGGTGATAACACACCACCATTATTATTGATATTCAAGTCTTTGTGGAAATATGTTTTAACCCTTTATTCCTGCTGTTGTGATTCGCCTCTCTGCAGATATTTGGTCCTGCATGTGCTTGACAAAGCTCTAGTTGGAGACAGTGAGGACATGGGACAGGTGTTCATTGATCTGGATAATTTGGACATCAGTCAGGGGTTCTCAGGAAAGTTCCCTTTGGCAGACCTGGTAAGATATTTGTTCTTTTTTCTTGAATTCTGCAAACCATGTTTAAAGAAGCTAGTCAACATGTAAGTGAATGGCAAGTGGAGAAGGGGAAAAAAGGCCATAAAGGCGTACTTATATATCAGAGTGTTATCATATTTAAAAATGTGAAGCACACTATGTTTATTGGTTTTTATCTTCATTTTATTTTGCTGCAGTATTTCTATCAGTGTTGTATTGAGTTTTAGGCAAATGAGGCGTCAGTGACAGATGAACTACACTTTTAAATTGTATTTTAATGTAAACAAAATAGTGTTTTGCTTCTAGGTCAGACTCAGATAAAGACTGGTATGTGAATTAGGGTACTATTGATTGAAGGGTAATGTAGAGTTTCAGGAAATTATATATTCAGGAATTAAGAAATATTATTGTGGTAGCCTGCCTTATCTAAGTGGCTATTATGGTAGTTAATTCTCATAGAATATACTTTGCTAATCTATGATTACTTTTTGCTTAACATAACTGCCAACTTCAGATAATAGTCTAAGTTGTAATGAGAGTAAAAAACAAAAAAACATTTCAGGAATCTGTGCACTCATTCCTCTATATTTTGTTATTGTAGAAAAACTCTGAGAGGACAAGGACCAAGTGGTCGCAGACTGCTACAGTGCAAGAGTTCCGGGAAGCTATGTATGCCCACTCTGTCTACAGGTACCCAGGGTTAGTCTTTCAGAAACAGAGAGGCAACAAGGTAAGTCCACCAGATCCTGTTATATCAATCATAATCTCAAGTTTTAAGTATTTTTATATCATAGTGTTAGAGAGAGAGTTAGGGCATGTTTGCAATTTACTTTCGCCTAGAATTGCAGTCTTTTCTTCCAGTTATCTCAAATTTGCTTACTTGATTTCTATTCAGCAGAGACTTGCACAGGTTAACAGGAGACAGTTTTGTTCAGATCGAGTCCTGTTGCTCAATTCACAGGATCCTCTCGCATTTATATTATAATATTACATGCAAGAAATGTTTCTTGCAGTGCAAAAATACTTGAATGAATACTTAAAGTTGGTTTGTTGATTTTATTAGCTTAAATTTTTAGTGTAATTGAAAAAAAGACATGATGGCAAATTGGCAATACAAAGTTTGATATTAATCAGATTTATTATAAACTTTATTTGTTATTACAATTGATGTAAACTACATTGCAGATAGACTGTCTTCCCTACTCTCTGAGTAATTTACAGACATAATGATAATATTTGAAGTTCATAAAATTTACATATTTCTTTGCAACAGGTAACTTTACTTTAACACCTGTATATTGATTATCTGTCACATGAAGTGAGTTTTAATATAACTTTCAAAATGTACATGGTGACAATGTTATCGTTATTGTTTTTGTTTGTTTGATTGTCAATGTTTCAGGTGTTGACAGTCCACAGTCGTAAGGCAGGGTCTTCTGCAAAGGTTCGGATCGTGAATGGAGTACCAACTTGAAATTCCCTTGCATCATCATCAGCTGGTCATGCATGGTCTGAACTCTGAATCGATCCCGAGGCACTGGAATGACCTGACTAAGGCAGATATTGAATGTGGATGTAAATAGTTGTAAACTATTTTACATCGATACCTATTGCAACTCCATGCCATTGGTCAGTATTCTTGAAAGTGGACTAAATTACTAGGGCCAGGTTTAAACACAAATAAAAGCATTGAATAAGTCCAGCCAGTTATGAAGTACCAAATGTCAACCTCTACATCATCTGTTCAAATTACAATAATTCAGTGACTAAATTAAACCATGAAAGTATTTTCACCATGAAATATTTTCTCACTTTCATTCAATGATTAAAGTATTATCTTTTTGGACATATTTTGGTACACAATTAGAGTAATTTGTTCAAAATGAGATTGTTGACATCTGGTGTTCTATTAGTCAGTGGACTTTTAAAGGTGAGCCAAGTTTGACTTAAATCACTTTAAAGAATAAGAGTCATGAGTTTTACCCCATTTGGGATGGGGGACTCCTTACTTAAAATGCATTTTCTTATGAAGTATTCTCTTTTATTCAAAACCTGTATTCACACTTCTCTCCATACAATGAGATAGTGCTACAACACAAATACAGGCTCATAGGACAATTAATACACTTATATTAAGCATATTAATATCAGAAATCTTAGCAGATAGGGTCTGGGCGGTTTTATTCACTTTTATTTTTATAATTGATGACAAACAGGATTTGTGTGTGTAAAAACCATATTAAAATATTTTATTCTCAAATAAATTGATTAGAAAGGACACATATATTGGAGATTTTTTAAGTAGGAGGTTTTTTTAAAAGTAGGGTAGGTAATAATCATTCAAAAATTCACCTTGAGCTCCATTTTATTGTATGCAATTTTGAGTATGTATATATGCAATTATTTAAATGATAATGTCTATTACACGATATGCATATTATATTTGAAATTAATTGAAAATTGAAGTAGCAAAATAAGGTTTTTTAATTTTCATCAATATATTTTTTTTATCAGTATCAATACTTTCAATATTTGCTGTAAACAATGATGTATGGATAGTCTCATTGTTGATTATCATTTTCTTCTACTGAATGAATTTAAGAATTCAGTAACCAACATGTCTCTGTTGTACTCATTGTTATATAGCTAACTATGCCGTAAAATGAGTTTGCTAGTATGTATTTATGTTAGGCCTAATTTATGTATATTATTTAGTGGTTTGAATGAAGAGGTAATATTAAAGTAATTATGACATTTCTACAATTTTATGAATTGTAGAATATCCTCTTTGTATAGATAGATTATATGTTTTTATATTCTTATGATATTGTATAATATTTGTTTGAGTGTGCAAGTGTGTGTTTATGTTTGTTAATATTGGATTTTACATGTACACAAAATTGTAAAATCAGGAATAATAGGAAAGAATGCAACTCATCTCATAATTTTGAACCATGTGAAATACATTTTGATATAACAAATACATAGATAAATTTAAGAATAAAGGATATATTTCTGACATTGAGTAGTAAGGATCATGTATTTTGGAGAAAACTCTTTTCTGTATGTGCAAACATACTTTCAAAGGAGTAGAGATAGCTTGCAGTAACATAAATCATGTTTGTGTATGAATGAATCCAACTATTTGTAAATTTGCTTTTATACTAATCATTGTTACTGAGCACCATTTAAATCCATAATTACTGCTCATTATGTGGAATAGAGAAATTGAACAGTCATTGATCCTCCCCCTTCCTTACAAAAGTACTAGATGCAAACATTATAGTTTTATGATATCAAGCAGCATTATATCTTTTTAGTATAAAGACAAAAAAAATGAAATTATGCAAATTTATAACTTACCATGATCACAAATTAGATCAAACTATTCTACTTGAGTTATGTAATAAATGTGTGTATTGTGGATTTATATTTCAAGGGAAAGAAATAACCTTACATTGAATAGAGTGTGATAGAGTCTTCTGTAATCTGTATTGCCTGTCTGTACATATTGTTCCTTGTCTTTCTGTTAGAGGGAAAAGATTGAAATTAGCTTTCATATACTATATCCGTCCATTTTCAATTTGTCATTGTCTATTCAAGTTTACTGTAAAAATGAAATGTAAAGATTATGTAGATAATGTGTTTGAAATTATGATTCTAATTCATTTTAGATAGCTGTAAATCATTATTTCTTAATTTGAATAAAATGTCATCCTTTTTTATATTATTTGTGTTATTCTCTAGTTATTTGCTTTAGACTAGTGGCATGTTGGAAGTATAACGAATGTGGATCCCTAAGACAATGTTTACCTGTGTGACAAACAACCTACATGCTTTACTGCAGCATTTTAGAGATTACAGATTTAACAGAGGGATATGAATAACAATGAGTTATAAAGTGTTCTGCCCATATTTGTGTGTCTGCCAGTGAGGGGGTTTATCAATTTTTGAAAGGATGAAGGAAGAAAAGGGAAATTGGAAAGGGAAAAAGAAATGATTGAACAAATGTGTTAAAGGGCACAGAGCTTGCAACAGATCAAGAAACATTTTACAATTTATGATAACTACTATACCTAAAAATTAACATTGTATGATGGACAAAAGAATTAAACGGGTTAACAGGAAAACTTTGGCTAAATTGCACAATGAGGGTCTAAAGTGAAATATCCAAACATTTCATACATATAGGCCCGAATTCACAAAGCAAGGTCTGAGCTCAAACCTTGCTGTGTGAATTCGGGCCAACGTGATCAAACTCTGGAAAGCTCTGATTAAAAGAACTCTTGTAAAAAAATAAAAACATAAACAAAAGCAGTAAAATGTTATATGAGAGATTGGCTATGACTAGTATGAGGAAATATCACTTTACCAATTTTATATCTATCACGAAAGAGAGAGAATTAGGAGATATGGAGAAGGGAGGATGGGGGGGGGGGGGGGTGGCTGAATCGAGAGGAGAATAAAAGAAAGGTATGGTATACCATACCTTTCTTTACGTAGGCAATTGAAATGACAAGGTGAGAAATATAATTATGCAGAGAACCTGACATTTTCTTTGGCAGATCAAGGGACCACTCCCCCCCCCCCCCCCCTCCCCCATTACAGATTCATGCTTTTATTCTTGTTTTTCTACTTTCCTTCTTTTTCATCGCTTGTCATGTATATACATATTGTGCTCGTAGGCGCGTACGAAAGATTTTTTTTGAAGGGGGGGGGGGGTTTAAAATTTGAAAATCTCGTCGAAAATTATGCAACGACTCAGCCAACCGCTGCATGGGGGGGGGGGGGGGGGGGGGGGTAAGAGCACTTTTTTGTATCCAGGATTTTAAGAAAAATTTCGCAACGTCTCAGCCAGCCGCTGAATAAACAGGGGGGGGGGGGGGGGTTGTAAGAGCACTTTTTTTTCTTTTGGCCGATCAATATCTCGTTCCGTTGGGGGGGGGGGGGTATACGGTCACCATTTTTGGGTCACCCATTAACACAATTTATTTTTTTATTTTTTGTCAAACAAAATTGAGGGGGGTTCCTCCATAACACACCAAAAAAAAAAAGCCAAACTGAATTCGAAACTTGTGGTGATCATCGAAGAGATCGGAAGATCGATTAGATTGCGTTACATAACTTCGTAAGGTTTCATGTCGTAAGCAGGTAAGCGCAGTCTAGTCGTCTAGTCTAGTCTGACTTATATGACTTATGACATGCAAATGCGCATTCCGAAATTGCATTGTGACGTGACCCCACAAACTTATACCAGCCAAGACAACCATGGCAATGTTGCGATCTTTGAGTAATTTGGCAAAATTTACAGCCAGAAATGGAGTCTTTAAACCAACCTGCTTCCAAGGGTCAAGATTATGTTCCGCAGCTGCTGCAGAAGATGACACGGGGTAAGTATTTTACGGCACAGCCAGGCCAAGGGGGGCTCGACTCCGGCGTTAAATTGCTGGCTTAGTCCCACATGTTATTTTTCATGTAGGGTCTAGTAGTACTGCCTACAGTACTGGTGTGGATTTGCATGACACTCACACTGCACTCGAGCTCGACTCTTGTCTCTTGAAGTACCTATACATAAGGCCTAAAAAAGAAAGATGTTGTATTGCCCTTTGCGACCGACCAAAAAATATTGAAATCTACGGATGGCTTTTAGATTTTTAGTACCGTTTTTCAGAGAAAGAAAATATTTAAGCATTCAAAACTGAGAAATATCAGCCCAAAGACTAAGAGGGAGAAAAAAAAAAAAGGTCTTCCAACTGACAGACCCATGTTTTGGCACCTAAAATGCAATTTTACAGCGTTTTTTTTTTTTTTTTTAGTCCTAATTGTGATTTGATTCAGGGGGAAGGGGCGTGGCAGACATGCTTATCCTTCAATTCTGTAATTTCTAAATGTCATAAAAAAACTCATATGAACTGATGTTTCTTAGATAAATCGGGAATAAAAAACTCTTTCCTCAAATTATCAACAGTGCGGAATTATCAATTGTGTTAATGTTATCTTCTTTTTCTCTACATCTTTTTACCAAGAAGTTGGCGCTAGTTCAGAATCATATCCAGACTTTTACCTGTTACTCCGGCGTGGAGATACGTTACCCTTCTAAAATATACAAAAAAATCAAGTAAATCTTTATCAATTGTTCAAATAATGGTCATGATTTGTGTCAATTTTCTTATCTCTTTTGGAGTATTTTCCCTAAAGACAAAGACATTATAGAGTAAAGGAGCCGGTAATCGGCCAGCTCTCGTTTTCGGCCGATTGCTTGGATGCAAGGTAAAATCACTCTAAAATACATCGCATAATAGCATAACACATATCCCACACATACCATACCATGTCAGTGTCACTGAAGAACCACATTTGCAATGGAAAATATATCCTAAAATATCACATTTTAGCGATGTAATCGCCGGTCCCGCTACCCAAATCTGAAAAATCGAGTTTCTTACGTGTGTATGTAAGAAATATGGGTACCATAAAATCAGCTTTATTTCAAGTATTTTTCAGATTAAGAGCCCGATTTTGTGTTAGTCGCAAGCTCAAAAGTATCTCATCGCATGTATTAAATCAATGCAGCCGGACCCTGCCACGCACACACGATATGTCTGTCTAATTCAGATTCCAACTTCCGATCACCGCTGTGCCTGTCTTCGGCCAGGCGAGCACCAGGGAGCTCCGGCGTGGGATACCTGCTCCGCCCGCTTGTGCTGTACATCAGCGCGGAAACGCACGGCGCGCGCGAGCGCTTCCAATTGACTTTGTACATGCGGCCGTAAACTGAAACGCTCGGCCGATAACTGGCTCCAAAACAGTGAAAATTGAAATGAATATTGTCATGGCAATTCGTGATTTTTTTCTGGGATTCTTTTTTTGTTTAAATAATAATAATATTTGCTTCTTGATTTGAACAAGAAATGATAATAAATAGGAAATAAAGAGTCCTAAAAATAGGATTTTGTCTTAAGTGGCCGAAAACGGGCTCCTTTACTCTAATAGACTATACACTTTCTCACAGGTTTCACGGCAAACCGCTGCACAATACAATTACATGCCTTAACGAAGATGGGTTGCGGGCGCGTTTGTGAAATTAGCAACCGTAATGATGGTTATCATTGTCGTAACTGTAATGTGAATTACTTACATGAATTTAATGAGGATCTGAGATTACAGTTGCTAACTTATGCACACTTGCGCGCCCTCACCCCACCGTCGATGATGGAGTTGGATTGGGCTGTCACAGTGACTTTGTCACTTTTCCTATTCCTATTTAGATCTAGATCTACTTCATGCTTCAGAAGTATTATATTTTAGATAGTTTCTTTTATAAATGGCAATAAATTGCAAAAATATTTGAATTGATTGTTTTTCTCAGTACCACATTCAACAGCGACAGGCCTCTGATTGGTCAGGCTGAGACCATGATGGACATTGGGACCAGGCCTATCTTCAGTGAGGAACATGACATGTTCAGGACCAGTGTCAGGAGATTCTTTCAAGAGGAAGTAGCCCCAAACCAGGACAGGTAAAAATAGATCACCCTACCTCCCCATCATAAAATATAAATTATATAAATACAGTGGCTGGATTCTTAGTATTTTACAAGGATCAGAGGGCAAAAGACTTTCTACAATATGATTGAAAAAATATAGCAGGAACAATTTGTTCTGGATGTCATTACTTTAATTGCTAAAAGGAAACTTAGGAAAGCCAAAGTTAGGTCACAGGTTGAAGTATGTATTGCATTGACAATATTTTTACCCTTTTCATGGAGAATATGCCCTTTCTATGTATGTACTATGAAATCCCCCATGCTTGGTATTAGCGCTCGGGTGGTTATGTACTATGGCGAGAAATGATAATGTCAACGTTTTGAATCTGTAGGTATGAGAAACAGAGGATGGTTGATAAGGAGCTGTGGGAAGCTATGGGATCAGCTGGACTGCTTGGTGTAGATATCCCTGAGTCACAGGGAGGAATTGGAGGAGATCTGCTCATGACTTCTATTGTCTGGGAGGAACAGTAAGTTTAGCTTCTCATTGTATGTACTATAGATTCTTCTTCTTTTTCTCCCTTTCCTTTTTCTTCTTCTCCTTTTCCTTCCTTCTCCTTTTTTTGTACTACTTCTTCTTCTTCTTGTCCTTCTCCTTTTTCTCCTTCTCCTCCTCCTCTTTCTCCTTCTCCTCCTCCTCTTTCTCCTTCTCCTCTTTCTCCTTCTCCTTTCTCCTTGCCCTCCTTTTTCTTGTTTTCTTCTTCTTCTTCTTCATTTTCTTTGTTTTCTTCTTCCCCTTCTTTTGTTTTATTTTTTATTTTATTTACTTTTTCTTCTTCTTCTTCTTCTTCTTCTCTCTCCTCCTCCTTATTATTCGCTATCGAAAGATTGGTGAAGACAATTTTACCAGTTTGTTATTCCTTTGGAATTGTTCCTCTAGATATGATGATATACAAATAGATCTTTTTGTTTTCGAAAAACCAATATTGATTCTCCTGTACTAAATATAATCAATACAGTTAAATTTTTTGTTGTGTATTCCTTATACTTTTTAGAAAAGTTTAAAAAAAACTGAAATACTTTCATGAGCATTTCATTGTGTTAAACACTGCATTTAACCTTCACATTTAACCCTTTTTCCATTTTCTACATTTTGTTTTGTTTGGGGGGGGGGGGGGGGGAGTGCGAATCAACAGGAAATAATACAACCCCCTTTTTCCCTCTTTGGCCCTAGCGTCACTTAATAAACTGTTTTTTTTTGTTTTGACAGGGCCTATGTGAATTCAGCTGGGACAGCCTTTCCTATGCACAGTGACATTGTGATGCCCTACATCAGTCACTATGGTACCCCAGAACAGATTGAGAAGTTCATACCAGCCATGACAGCTGGAACCAAAGTGGGTGCCTTGGCAATGACAGAACCCGCAGCTGGAAGGTATGAATCATTCAGAGTTTTCAGACTCATTATTCGAGTATCAAGTATAAAACAATTGTAGTAGAAGTAGTTGTGGTAGCAGCAGCAGCAGCAGCAGATAATTATGCTGCAACAAATTGGCAATGCATAAATAAAATGTCTTCATTTTATGGATTAATCTGCAACAATTTTGATTTAAGGGAAATTACACACAAGAGAATGTGTTAATTTTAGAGAGCGTATGCTTCCACAACTCTACGCTTGCAGAATAAGGTCAATTGGGTCCATTTCGTGACTTCAATGTGCTGTTTCGTATTTACAAAATATTGCTTAGGAACAGTCACAGATTTCGAACGACGGCAAAACAAGGGTGAACACGTTCGAGAATTCTGCTACCAATGATGAGCTCCTCGATGCGTATGCGCACTGCTTAAAAAATGACTGCATACGTCTCAGTCCACTAGTTAACGTGCAAATCGAAAAGTCCCTATTGTCCGTGGGAGACACAAAAAGCAGTCTTCATAGGCAGGTGGTCTTAATAGACAGGTCACATGTTTCAGTGATGAACATCATTTCAAAGGGGGGGGGGGATAATGTGGTCTTCATAGACGGGTGTTCTTTCTATTCAGATGATCACTAAATCAGGTTTGTTTGCAGTAAATGTGAGGTGAGGTATTTGTAACTATGAAGTGAAATAAGGATGGCTCAGTTGGGTTACAGAGCTTATTAAATAGCTTGAGCGTATATAACAAGTTTTAAAACTGAAAAATATCAGATCAACATTAAGAGAGCACTCATGTGTTTACTATCTAGGGATGACAATCATTGGTCACAAGGTCACAAGACTATATAATGGACTCAACACTTATGTAAATAACAAGATTGCGGAGATAAACAGTACATGTTCATGACAAAGAAAGAAACCACTGTACATGGATCTTACCTGAATAAGAAATGTCCACAAAAAAAGGAGTATTTGGTTTTCTATGCTATCTGTGTTATCACTGTATTAGTAAATTTGGCCTTTCACCGATATATGTACATCACAGGTAACATTTTGTTAAAAAAACATTTGTTCTCCTAAATCATTTGATTTCAATTATATATGAAATGTAGCAATGAAACTTAAACATTCTGATAGTCACCACACAATACTTTGTACACATTAGCATTTCTATGATCCACCATTGCTAAGCTTTACAGTTAAACTAATGTAATGTGCATTTGTTAAGGCTACATATCTTCCTTTGAACCAGACATAAAGGTATGGTGGTGAAAAAAAACTTTTAAGAACAGTGAAGTGCTTAATGTGTCAAAGTATACATTGCATGACGTCTAAATCGCAGAGCCAGAAGCAAGGTACATATTCAATCTAGTGTGGGAAAAAAATGCTTTAGGTACTTGATGATTTCAGGTTGTTTTTAATATGACAATCAGTCAAAGAAGTTGCGAGGAAGAGACCAAATCCATTACATTCTTATATTTATCAACTTTATTTTTTACTTACCGGTAGTCTGCAAAGCTTTTGGTGGTGACTAGTGATACATCTGATATGCGTGAATTTCATTTTTTGCATGTAAAATCTTATTCTATCATGTGAAAGTTTAAATTTAGAGAACAAAATAAACAAGTTCTAATTATCTGTTAAATTTACAGTGATCTACAGGGCATCAAGACCTCAGCCAAGAAAGATGGGGATGACTACATCCTTAATGGAAGCAAGGTGAGAAAATATATTTTGAGAGCCAGAGGGATGTTGACTATAAGTATGCCCTTCCGGCTCTCAAGAGACAAAATAATATTTTCAGACCATAAATTTAATTTTAGAGCCGGTGTAAGTATAAGCTAGGATGATGTTTAGGGCATTGTTTGGTGTAGTTCTTGGTATAGGGTTGAAGTTGGGATTTGGTTGGTATAGGATATTGACCACAGAGCAATTGTCATTTGAGCGTGTGTTGTATGACTTTGATAAATAAAGTGTACTTTACCATGCATTCTGTGGGTTAATGGTTAAGGGTGTAATACTGGTAAAACAAAAAATAACAATTTTTTTTTCCTTTTTTCCCCTAAAACTATTTTGTGTAGCCTTGTTGACAAGAACCAGGGCACTGGAAGCCTTGGAAATACCCATATTTGTATTAAAAAAAAAAAAAAGGAATATTTATAACCGGAAGTAGAATTATTGCAAACGGGAAGTCGAAAATTTGGAACAAAAACTTTTATTTTAGCCCCCAAAACTCAGGAAAATAGCTAAAAGTCTTTGAGAAAACTAAGGAATTGTTAGCGCCATCTGTTGGTAGGGTACATATAGGCATATTTCTCACACAGGCCCTATATGTGGATCTACTTTGTGCACATAGTGAATGTAGATATCCGCGACTCTTTTTATCGTCAAAATCTGTATAGGAGCCTACTTGTTCTACTATGTTATCTTTACACGCAAATTACAGAAAAACTCATTTTTGGCATATAATTTGTAATAAATTTTGATTGAATCATTCAATTTGGCTGAAATTTTGACAGTGTGTGCTGAATGTCATTTCCTTAAAAATAATGATGGCCTTTAGTGATAGGTAGCCATACTTCCGTTATTGAAAAAAAATGAAGTGAATTTTGCTAATTAGCATAATTAACTAATTAATGAACCTGAGACATAATATCACAAAATTCTCTCATTACATTATAGAGAAACCCTTTTTAGATATATTTGAAATTTGAAATTTATTTGATCTCCAGGTACATGTATAAACAAAATAGAAATGACAACACAGAGCATATAACATTAAGAGTTACAAGACAGCCAAAAAGCCACCAGCGGACGCCTGAGGATTACCTAAAAGAATTTCCATTCTGTCATGAGGTTCTCCACATCCACTGGTGTTACATATAAATAGATTTAAGAAGTAACGGTAAAATAACATAACATAATTCAAGTTCATCCATCAAGCATAATAACTAATAGAATGATTGCATGTATGTTGAACTTTGTGGCATGAAGAAAATAACAATCATGTACGGCATGTAACAGTAAAATAAAATAACATAATTCAAGTTCATTCATCATTTTTTTTTCACCCACATATGTGCCATATTTTATATAAAAAGAATGATAGATGGCAGAGTAGATAGAATTATGAATTTTACTCTTTGTTTTTCTTTATTTTTTTTTATTTCTGTCTAATTATGCAAATTATATGCATGTAAACACATGCAAAACTGCCCAAACTGATGTAAATCAAAGTTTACAATATATCTTTCAATAAAAAAATGATAGTTAGTTTGAACTTGATTAGATTCATGTGTAAATTGCCTCTTAAATGCAACTATGTAGTTTTCACTCTGTTTTACCAGTACTACACCCTTAAGGAGACTGAAGCAAATAAAACATTACATAAAACATCATGCACGGAACTCTAGTGTACTCACAATTCCCTTTTTATTGGGAGTGTACTTAAACTTGCCATATTTTTTCAGAGAATTAATGTTAGGAGCTCATGTTTTAAAGATAGTATAATCATGTGGAACCCCTAATATATAGAGGGTAAAAAATTGTGATTGGTACACTTAAAGACTTTCTCATCTTATGTTTCTATTTAATACCCAAGGTATTCATCACCAATGGTTGCCTGTCTGATGTGGTGGTGGTTGTAGCCATCACAGATCTGAACGCGAAGAAGAAAGCTCATGGCATCAGTCTTTTCTTGGTAGAAGCCGGTATGCCAGGGTTTACCAAGGGGAAGCCACTGGAGAAGGTCGGACAGAAGTCTGTGGTAAGTCAGAATCTATTTGACTCAAGTTCCTATTCACTTAAAAAAAAAAAAATTTAACCCACATCTTTTTGGTAAAGCAGGGCATTTCAATATCTATTTAAAAGAGCCAGGCAAAATCAGCTTGAGAATGAGGGTACTATTTGGTCAATGGTTTGGATTTCAAAGCTAGGAGCTAATGTGTTGAGAGTCAAGCCTTGCATCTTGGTATATTCATATACAGGAAACCACAGTTTGCTGGCTTTTGTTTGGTATTTCCTGATCTCATTCAAAATCAGAGATTTTTGTAAAAAGATAGCTTGTATTGAAGGAGAAATCCACCCTAAATATAGAAAATTTGTAGTAATAAATCAGTAACAATTTTGATTGAAAAGATGATTTCCATGTTATATCCATCATTGTTTCCCTACTCCCACAAAGGATACCTGTGAGCTGTTCTTTGAAGATGTACGCCTCCCAGCCAGTGCGTTGCTGGGTAAGGAGAACCAAGGCTTCTACATGTTGATGAACCAGCTTCCTAGAGAGAGGCTTATCATTGGAGTAGGATGCCAGGCCCATACTGAGTTCATGTTTGAAGAAACAAGGAACTATGTCAGGCAGCGTAAGGCATTTGGCAAGACTCTGGGAAACATCCAGGTATGTTCTCTCTTATATGTGACTTTCCATTTAGATTTATTGATTTCCAGGGCATAGGTATGATTCTTGCTGTTTTCCACTCCAATCCAGTCCACATGTTTTTGGAATAGCACTTTTTCCTTGCAGTTCAAACTACTTAAGTCTGCAAAGTAGTATAATTAAGGGCTGCTTAAAATGATAAACGGCTTCAAAGCGACCAGTTGAGCCAATAAAATATATAACAGTCCATGCTTTATAACAAGATGGGTGGCCCTACAAGAGTGAAAACACATTATGGATATCATTTTATACAGAAGGAATAACTGTCCTTTTTCAAAAAGCATTGAACAGAATTTATATGTTCTTTTAGCAAATGTAATATCGGTAGACAAACATATAAGCATGATCACTCTATACTCAAATGCTAAGATTGTGATGATACATTTCTTTGGAAAACTATTCAGACTTCTTGTTCACTTTTGGCAAGTTGATTTTAAAATTTGTTTGGAAATGCTTGCGCTGTTTCTATTTTGATTCCCCAAGAACATGACACTTGTTATTTCAAACTGCACATTCTTCATGGAAATAAAAAAGTGCAGCTTACTTATTCTAGGGTCATAGCAGTTAAGCTTATTTACAGCAGAGTTGTGAACAAGAGGTTAAAAATTATCTACATAATTGAAGAGTTTAATTCTAAAAGGAGCTAAATCCATTCGTGTAACTTAAGAGAAAAATTAATTGTTTACCAGATTTTGTACAGGCGTCCATGGAAAAGTGATATTAGAAGGTGCATTTTTCCATAATTGTTCCTAAAATTTAGGTAAATAATTTTTTTGAAAGACGGGTACTTAAGTACCTGTCAATAAATCAATTTTCATCAAAATTGGATTTAGCTCCTTTTGGAATTAAGCTCTTCTATATATTTGTGTTTGTTTCCAAAGACAATCCAACACAAGCTAGCCGAGCTGAAGACTTTGATCTGCATCGGAAGAAGCTTCCAGGATGACTGCCTTAGACTGGAATCGGAAGGCAAATTGGACACATACACTGCATCAATGTCAAAGTACTGGTAAGTCAGTCCCCAAAGATTGTTTGACATGTTCTTTCTTTCTTGATCTGATTTTGTTTGGCAATTAGTCACAGTTGACTATTTTTGCAACACTCTATTTTATGACTGTGCTCAGTTAGCAATTGCTCTGCTGTCACTGGTAGTTTGGTTTGTTTTTTACTTGACTGCTAAGAAAGCATGTGCATGCTTGTAAGTATTAAAACAACCAGGAGACCGATGGTCATAAGTTCTTTCTGAGGGACTTGGTAATGAGGATTAATGCCTTACCAAAAGGCGCTAGCACATTGACTTGGTTTTGAACCTGGGACCTCCCAGTTATGAGACCACTGCTCTACCACCCAGCCATCACGCCTCTACATTTCTACATTAATCAAATTCCTAATTCAATCCTGAACGTAACACCCAGCTCTAAGCCTAGCAATAAGTCCAATCACAACCCTATGTCTTTGACGAAATAAAGCCTCAATCAAATGTCATCAGAGAAATGTAGGTGGAGCATGTATCAGATTATCACATTCTCATTTGGAGATACCTAAAAGGGGTTACTAAAGCTACAATCAGTACCCTCTAAATGTGTGCCCTCTCTACTCTAAACTACTTCTAACTAAGAAAGTCATAAACCTTATAATGGAGAATCAAGAAAAAAAAGGTGTGTTATTTGTCAGAACAATTTATTTTTGATTTTATTGTGAAATGGTAAAATATATCATGCCCAAAGCTATAGCAATAAATGTACTACCCAGGACTGTTACAAAAAAAATCAAGTTTGACTAGGATGTGTGTTAGGCCTTTGGGTGTCGACTTCATTATTTCTATTGGGGTAATGATGTCCTGTTCTTTTAGTCTACAGTATCACATTGAATGATCCACTTCCAGGAACACAGGTTTTTAGTGGGATGAATGGAATTAAAGCAGGATGTAGGCTCCAATTAAGCCTAATCTCATTACCCCTTCATTTTGTTTTCAATGGTCATTTTACTTGCCCCTTTTCACTCACTAAAAAGACAATATTCAATGGCAAGGGCCAGTAGCAACATGTCTGGGCTTATATCTGATCGTTGTTCTGATTTGTTGACTTGTAAAAGTTACATTTAAACATGAAGAAAATAAAGAGGTTAGGGGGTCTTTTATTTGAGCTTCAAAGATCCTGTTCACTGAAAAGATGTTCTTCCTGCCTATAATTGATAACATGTAATGTTCAATTTAAATGGGAGTTGTTTGAGAAAAAAACTAGGAGAGTCATACACCATGCTCCACACACTATAGAATATTTAGATTTTTGAAGTGTTATAAACACAAAAATTTATTCTTGTGACAAGTAAACTATATTCATATCAAGTTCAAATGTTACTTCAGTGAGAAGAAATCAGGAATAAAAGGTAACAAAATTGCAAGGGAAACAAGTTGATGATCATTTTATCCCTTTACTTGTCTTGTTTCCAGGGGCTCTGATGTCATCAACAAGGTAGCAACGGAATGCCTTCAGCTCCACGGTGGATGGGGTTACATGTGGGAGTATCCCATCGCTAGGGCTTTCTGTGATGCTCGAGTGGGTGCCATCTATGGTGGTAGCAATGAGATCATGAAGGAACTTATCTACAGACCCATCGTAGCCTCTAACTAAAATGAGTGGCGTGCACCTTGCAAGATGTGCCCCATAGTCTTTCCTGTCTTAGGTTAATAATGTATAGGGAATCATTAACTGATATGCTACTTTTATGAAAGAAAATAATGAATTAAACAAATCTTCTAAATGTAAATTGGGTAACTAAAATCAGTTGTATCATTCAATGTGATAACATCTAAAAAAATATTGAATATTCAACTCTATCTAACAAACAATATATCTAGATGAAACAATATGTAAATAATATGTCCAAAACTTGCTTAAGGCATATTAGCCAAGTGATTTATTAATGTTGCTCAAATTATTCACGCTCTCCAAGTCTTGGACTTTTAGCTATATCAAGCCAGTATGTGAAATCTTAACAGGTTTGTAAGAAGTCATGTACATAGGTTTTCTATGATCTTAATTTGAATTTGAAAGTGAATTTGGTAGGCACCATATTTGGAATAAACAACAATGAGTGGTTTTGAGTATCAAAGGATAGTAGAAGCTTCTTTATTCATTTCTTCACAATGGGTTATAACATCTTGTATCAGGGTTTTTAGTGCAATGAGTGTTTCAACGTGACCAAAGATATAAATGACACTCATTTGATGTGACAGAATTGTTCTAGTTTGGTCTTTTTTCTCTCTTTTTTTTTTTTTTACGCTGGTGTTTTTTATGCTGTTAGTTTGTTTGTATCAGGGTTTCTTTCTTCTATTTTTGCAGCTTGTAGCTAGCCATCATATTGCTTTGTTACACAATGATTAATTATTAATACTAAAACTCTCAGTGCTTGCTCTATAAGGTAATTGTAGTATAAATTACATTGAACAAACATTATCTTGGGATTTACCTTAAAGTATGGTAACATAGCAACAGTCCTCTCTCCACCATGCGGGAGGGTTCTTGAGAGTATGTTTCAAGTGATTTACGTTCATATCATTTAGATTCTTCTTTTGTTTCCTTTTATTGTAACATGTCAGTTGTCGATGATGAATTGTATCACAATCCTGACATATTAACAAGACATTTAAACTTACGATTTGGACTATTGACACTCTTATTTAAGGTGCCATTCATCTTCAATTCTGTTGATTCTGTCGATGGGACTGAGAAAAACGTAATTAACCAAACGCTATTAAATCACATGTGGTAGAAATAATTGTTTTCTTCTAGTATTCTAACAATTCCTTATCCTGAAAATATATATATTTATGCTTCACTTTCTCTTCATTCTACATGCTTTTTAGTTGTTTTTGTTTTAAATTTGTAGGGCAGTGCTTGGTATTAGCATTGACTTGTTAACACTTCTTATGTTTTGTATTCATTTAAGTTAATGAATTTCTTTATCTGGGTGTCAATCTGGCCATTGACCATGCCTGTGTGTATTCAGCATCATCTTCCATGCATAAAGATAAAATCAAGTTCTTTTCATGCGATTGTATTTTGAAAGAAACTATGTGGAATCAATTGGAAAAGGTTGATCCTGTAGCATTCAAGTATTAGTGTATACTGTGAGGAATTGGGATCATCAAAATGATAAGAAACTGGCCAAGTCCACTTGCTCTGGACACAGAAATGTGCACATGGGACTACGCAAACATGTGGCATGAATATGAGGGCATGAATATGAGGGCACTTGAGGTGCATTCCTTTTCAGGGGGCAATTTGCCACGATATTCTTCCACAGTAACATAACAAGAACGAAACGAGCTACAAAATTATTGATTTTGAATGTGTAAAGAGATGTCAGTGCAGTCTGTATTACAGATGGATGGAAGTTCAACTTTCTCTCCAGTTTTCCATGTAAATCTTGAAGGGCAGTAGCTATACAATGTATATTATCCTTACCTCATATGGCCATTCTTGAACAGAGTTGTTTGAAAGACATGGTATATTAGAAGTTATTCTTGTAAAACAATATTTTGTGAAAATAATATATATTTGTTGATGACCTATACTTGCTGTGAGCTTATGGGGATATTTTTTTAGTGCCAGAATATAATTTCATGTTGAATATTAACAAATAATTTTTAATTTACTATTTAGGGCTTGTGATGTGCAAAGTAATACTTCAAGTACTTGGAATACTGCCTTGACCAGTGAACAAGTACCTGTATAGCACCTCACATCTAATGTTATTTATGCATTGTATCTGTTTTCATCTTGTAATGTTTCAATAGAATGCAATTGTCTAGCATAGAAATTAACCACCGATATACAAGTATACATGTAGTTTGTATATCACAGGGTATTTTGATTATTTTGTAAATGATTATATTTGATATGCTAATACAGGAAGGCATTATATGTACGATTTGATGTATGAATTCAATAAATACATGATGAATGTACTTCTGCATTTACGTTGTATGATTTATAGCTAAGCTGTAATACAGTAATGCAATTTAACTGCTTTGTAGCACTATTATGGCATCAAATCACATTTTTAAGTACATCAATGGTTCTTAACCCATAGGTCATGACTTTGTAGGGGGTCATTTCAGAATTTTCTGGGAGGTAATGAATAGACAATGAACAAACCCACGTTCAAATATATATATTGTGTTGTACTGTTGCATTAGGATAGAGGGGTATAAATGTACTGCCTACAAATTGCATGGTAGATTGGGAGGGGGGTCACTTTGTGGGACCTGAAATGTTAAGAATCATTGATGAAAAACACTCTTCAGAGAATGCAGCTCACTTCACTTTAACAAACTTACAAATATTAAACAGCTTCTCAGTTTTCAACTTGTGCTTTTATTTTTGATGTGGCCAGGAGCCTCATACATATTATAAACAAAATATTTTGGGATACATTAGTATGCTAATAATCCTGAAATGTAACCCTAGACTCCTAGAGGCAAATTTTACTTAACCCCAGTGCCCTAGTTACAACAGATTATTCAACATTTCTTATTCAGATAGAGGTAAGAAGCATGATATGATGGGTAACAATGCACAATTTATGCCAATCTATGTCAATTGTGTATATAGATAAAATGTCTCCATATCAAAACTCATGACATTAGAAATCAAACCTCTCTTCCAAAATACATTTTCAAAAATGTGCCAAATCCACTACACTTGGTAAATTGAAGACTCCAACAAGTTATTTAAAAAACCTACCAGATCCACTCTTTTCTTCTGGGGAAAAGGAGAATGACAAAGGCTTCTTGCACTAATAGTGTATACAAATTTCTCCAGGGCATTGGTTGACCTCTAGGTTCATACCAAATTACAATGACAATTTCTAGTACCAGCTAGATATCAAAACACTTTGGTATAAATAAATCAGAGTGAAGTAAATAACATGTACTTCCAACAATGACTTACAACAAACACTTCATCTACACATACAAATTTGTCCTAATTGAACACGGTATTTTCATACTTCCATACGACTCCCTTCATTATCTATTTATAACAATTCTATTATTTACAACATTTAAGGGATGGGAGTAATTTTCTATTTACAAAGGCCATGTTTTTCATTGGTATTGAAAACATATCTCATATATCACTAATCATATTTCAGTGGCTAGATCAATAGAGATGATGCAAACCTATGTGTGACTTGTGATCTGATGAACAGCAGTCAATAGAAAAACATACATGTGTTGACACTCAACAACAACAAAAAACATGAACTTTAAGGGGGGAAAAAACACAGGAAATTATTCATTTAAATGGAATGAACAAATTTTTTACAAGAAAAGAAAAATGTAAAACTATAAGAAATACAGTACATAATACAAGCAGAAACAGACTTTAAAAGGACCATAACAATAAATACAATTAACTGATCCTAAAGTTTAGTAGTTACTTTAACATGAAACACAAATTAGGAGTATCGTAAAGGAAAAAAAAGTTTGTAACAAGTAATATATTCTCTTCTCGTCATTCTCCCAATAAAAAATGCATTAAATCAGAAAATGAACTAAATGGAAATCTATACAAGCTTAAATAAATATCTAATATGTGTACATCTTGGTCCTGTGTACGTCTTTATCTTCACATTCCCTGCTCCTATTGTAGTAGTAGTAGAGACCATCTTTCCTCTGCAGCTTCTTCACATAACCTGTCTCGGGCCATCGGTTGGGCTGTAATAGATGAAAAAATGTAACAATTGATGCTACAATTATTCTTTGATTAAATTATTCCAACACTCCCACAACTTAAATATCGAGAAAAGTATTCTCAATTCTCAATACTCCAAAAGTTTTTGAAAAAAAACACACAACAGTGGACAGCCTCATGAATAAAATTTATCATACCAGTAATTGTGCTGTGTTACCTAAAGAAATGTACTTTTTATTCATGTATTTTTTAACCACATGTACAGTACATAAAAACTGCAGTACAGTTTTAGAGTGTTAACAGTAAATCACTTGACTAAAATTATGTACTTCCTGAATTCAGTCCACTTTAATTTTGTACTCACTGTCTTTGAGATCCATTTAAGTTAGACATGGTTGAATTTGCTTGAGTACAGATTCTTTTCAAAATGAAAGAGATTTTAAGATTTCATGGCTTTCCTTCTCTTGGCCTATTCACCAACCTGCAAACAGCAGTTTTTATGATTAATGAATTCAAGCTTATTTAGATTCAAGTCAAATATACTCAAAAGTATGTTGTAAGATGCAGGATCAGAGACGAGTGTCTTTTTCTTCCCTTTTCATCATCTTTTTTTCTCTCAGGCCCTTCTTCTTTCTTAGCTATTCATATCTTTTCTTGAATTCTTTTTCATTGTCTTTCTTATTTATTCAAGCTTTTTTAAATTAAGTAATGCATTATTTTTAACTTATATGTTCACTCAGTTTTTATGTGAACTGATTTGTAATTCAGCATCTGGCTGTATAATTTATTATTAAATAAACCATTTTGAATTGAATACAGGAAGAAAAAAAAAGAATATCAAGATTATATTTGGTAGATCCTTGGCTTCAACTCACCTCATCTTTTTAATAGAAGTATATTCAACAGCATCTCTGTATCCAGCCAGCTGAAATCTGTAGTTCTCTTCTACTTCCTCTGACCAGCGTTTAGGCCTGGTCATTCCCTTGGGTTCTTGTGCTACGGCAACAGCCATGTTTAGATGGTTCTTAGGCAAGGGGCAGTAATCTGTGAGATGAAGGGCATGAGAGAGAGAGAGAGAGAGAGAGAGAGAGAGATATATTATTATTATTTAAGTACAAGGCAAGACAAGGTTTACTGAATGGTATGATTTGGAGGCCTAAAATCTATATTTTTAAACCTAAATTAAGGCTAATATTTGACTTATTTATTTTGTGGGCCATGTATTTTCGTCTTGAGTCTGGTCTTGTGCTTCAATTTTTCCTGTGCCTATTCTATTAAGTCAAGAGTTATTCTGCCAAAATTCTTGTCAGATTCAAGCAAGAACAATGTCATTTTCACAAGAAAAGGCAGCAGTGTTATTTTGACATTGCAAAATCAAAGGCTCCAAGGCCCATGTCTGCACCTTCATATTCTATGCACATCTATGGATCCTGCTGAGTATCGTCGTAGAAGTAGAAGTATCTAGACTAGACAGTTCAGGATTTTTGACGTGAAAGATAAAGAGTACGGTCACTATAATACTAGGGGCATATGTTTAGGCTAGCATTTCTTAGCACGTCTTAGTCTCACTCTCGCTCAACCATGGCATGACCATGTCAGCAAGGTCTCTGCTCAGCTCTTCAATTCTGAAAATTAAGCCGTTTTGTTTAATCTGCAAAAAGTCATCTAGACTAGAGATCTATCATCTAGGTCTAGATCTAGTCTATCTAGATGTGGGGCATGCTATTCCCAACCTAAAACGACCAGAGATAGAAGAGGGCATATAAATTAACACCAACACTAAAGACTAAGTAACACCAACAGTAACGCTACAGGCAATTCCAACAGACCCACTCAAGAACGGACACATTCGTGAACTCCTTCTTCATGAGAACAGTGCGTGATTGGAACCAGCTTAAACCGGAGACTATCGTCCACACTGACCCTGTCAAATTCAAAATTCCCCTGACGCCCCCCCCCCCCCATCTACAAATTATAAATAGGTCTAGACTAGACTAGACTTCTAGGTCTAACAAAGTTACACCCTATCCCGCCATAGTATCCGCACCTCCAGTTAAAACTCAGAGTCAGACAAGTAATTTGGAGGACCAATTAACCAACCAAGAAGAAGAAGTCTACTTTTTTTTATATCAATGCTTAGTCTAGTCAAAAAATGTCTTGTGAGCTCCGTCCAGCTGCACACTTTCTCACTCACTCACATGCATGGCCATCATGGGGCATGCTATTCCCAATCCCATGCATACGGTATTGCATGGCTGCAAAAAAGCATGATCATTGAATTGAATGCATGCAGTCAAAACAGCAACAAAAAGCTCGATCTCGCTTTTCAACACACATTTAGGTCTAATACATAAGGTAGACAACGCAGAAAGCAGTGCAAATAACTTACATTTTGAAGAAAGAAAAACACAAGACTCTCGACCCGGTATTACAACTTGATTTAGACGAGTTTACAAAGAGAATGTCCAGTGCAGTGTGAAATCAGATGTGCATGAATGAATGAATTGTTGTTGTGTGTTGCTTAGCAGTGTGACGTGTTTACATGGCCTTTCTCGATCCCTGGGTATAGTCTCGCATCTGAAATCTCGATATTTACGAGACAATGTGATGAAGATAGGCTTTATGCCAGAGGTTTTTATAATTCATGATTCACGATACGTAGAATGATTGGATAAAACGTACGTGAGTGAGTCTAGTCAGAAAGACCTATGACAACACAATATTATTATTATGATTTCTTTTCAAATCAAAAGTCTAGACAGACGCTTCTTCTTCTTCTGACTAAGTCTGCCTCCTTCAATTGACTGAAGATTCTTGCAAACTCTCAAGAAAAGATATGAGCGTTGAGCTAATTTCTTTTAAATGAATTGTGAATAATAACTATGTTGGATTAGAATGTCCATCCCTACTCCCTGCTTGCATCATGAATCGACTAGACAAGCATCTACATTAAATCATATACCTATAATGTAATTAGCCTAGATAATTTAAATGTATAGACATGCCGAATGAGAAAAAAATTCTTCTGTTTTCTAATATATTAGTTATCATCATCATCAGCATCGTACGGAGCCCCGGAAGTGACATGGAGAAAAAAAAATTTTCTCGTTTTCCTGAGATAAATTCTCGTTTTCCTGAGATAATTTTTCGTTTTCCTGAGATAAATTCTCGTTTTCCTGAGATAATTTTCGTTTTCCTGAGATAATTCCCGTTTTCCTGAGATAAATTCTCGTTTTCCTGAGATAAATTCTCGTTTTCCTGAGATAATTTT